ATATCATTCTATCATGATATTATGACCTTTCAAAATACTCGTTCTCGTGTCTATCATATATTATTTCAGTGTGCAATTAAAAATTTATTGATAAGCGTTATCATAGAAAATGCGTTCATCAATTGCAAAAGATTGAAAGTTTAAATGTGTTCGCAAAAGCAAATCAAATGAAACGTATTTAATTCTCTTGAAAAAATATAAATTAACGAGTTAATGGATTAACACAGTAAAGTTTGTTCAAGAAAAACGAAGAAAAATGCATTTTTAAATTTGAAGTTTTGTGTCTTAACATACTCAGATTTCTGAAGGCATAAATACTAGTAAAAACGGTGTTACGATGAAATTTTAACACATTTCAACTTGTTTAGTTTTTGGAGGTCTTGTTTGATTGAACACACATCCTTTCCAAAGCCGTTACTATTGATACTCACATAATTGCCACTGAAAAATTATCAACATTGAAAGCTGTATTCCGAGAAAATACTACAGACAACATCTAGAAGTGTTTAAAATCATTAAATTCATTTGCAAGAGGACTTTATTTTGGTTCATGACTATAATCCTCATAAGCATTTAAAAGCTACTCAATTATATATTCATAAATTCATGTTCCTTTCCATTTCTAGATATATTCTTCACGAACTAATACAATAAAAATAAATAAAACAAAGTCGAATTTGACATACACTTGTATTATAGTAGTTTGTATCAAGCCATTCTCAACGACTCGCTAGTCAAGATTGAGATCTAGTAACTATCTAATATCGTTCTTGAGTAAGATCAAAACCAGGCTTGATATTGCTCCCATACTCACACTATCACACTGTCGAGGCATATGTACACGAAAAGATAAAAACGACAGGTGTTTTTTTGGAATAATCATTATTTGATGATGTCTATTGATACTAACAAAGAAAAAATGATAACATGGAGGAAGAGCAAAGAAAAGAGAAAAACAGTATAAAATCACTAAGAAAAACAAAGAAAAATAAATAGGTGAAAAGTGAACCATATGCTAACTTGTTTCTTCTACACTAAATGAACGATAAAGAATTTATGAAACATAAGCCACAAAGGGTATTAAAATGAAGAGAGACGGTAGTATTGTTAAAAGCTAAGAAGAACTCGCACACTAATTTAATCAATTGTTTTGTTAGAAATGATTTTTGACGACTTGAAACCAGCGGATTAGAATTGACTCATGCATATCAATCATTTTTCTCACTTTGGATAACCTAGAGAAATGTCCCAAATTTAACTTCTGTTCAGCATAATCTCTGTTGTTTATTTTCCGTGTTCGTAAAGACATCCAGACAGAGAGGATCGTTATAAAATAATGACTCGCCTAGGTCGAAACGGGATATTTTATTAATTCGTTCATGTGCAGGTGTAGCGGAACATCTATGTACTTTCCTTAAACCTACTCTGAATTTACGTTCTATAAGCGTTTGATGAGAGATGTATAGTAAGAAAAAGAGGGAGAAAATTCACGAAAAGAAACTTAGTCTCAATATCTCAGTCGTAACCATTCGATTTCATTTCGGTCATCTTAATTTAGTATATGAACTTAAAATCTCCTCAATACGATATGCAACAGTTGCTATGAGGGACAATTCATCCCTCCGCACGAAATCTGAATAACTAAATGATCTTACTGTTTCCAATTGTTTCCCATTCACGCAGATCTGTATTATTAGCTATTTTATTTCTGATTGGAATAGTTTTACTACCATCTTTTCCTCGTTTATAGACGACTTGCATTCACTAGCAAAGTCATATGAATTTTAACAAATTTCTGTTTCTTTTCTATTGATGCGCTCTACCATTTTGAGCAGACTTTTCTGTATTGACGAAACTGTAAGTGTCGGTGTGAATGTGAGTGTTCTCTTCATTTACACACTCGTTTCTGTTTCAGTTTAAGTTTCTTGTAGAACATAATATACACAACAACTTGATGTTCAGTGAGCAAGTCAATGAAAATAATGCACCACACAAATGGTGGCACCATCGTTGGTTTACGATCCTTTGCATCTGCTTTATCGGTGTAGCAATGCTTGCAGTTATACTCACTCTAGTATTAAAATTTGCCATACTTGTACCAAAGAAGCAAGATATTACCACGGCAACATTACCATCATCGACGGCAACGGCAACACCACCAATAGCAACGACAACATCATCAACAGCAATGACAGCATCATCAACAGCAACAACATCATCAACAGCAATAACAACATCATCAACAGCAACAACACCTTTAACAACAACTGCAACCACAACTCAGCAATCAGGTAAGCTGTAGACAGACGCTTTTTAATTTACCTAACGGTTACATTAAAATCACCTCGAATCAGGAATTTACCGAAAGCCAATCAAAATAATTTAAAGTAGAAAAATTCGACGAAAATAACTTTAGATCCCTCATAGGGTTCGGAGAATTCTGGTTGATCTTCAATGATTTTTGATGACTTATTAGTTTTAGGATGGTTGTAGATAGGGGTGCAACAAATCCTTATTTTTTGTACAAAGATTGAAATTTTTCTGAATGAAAACTCACCAAATCCAACCAAATCTTCGTGTCAATTATAATCAGTTTTAATCGCTCTTTCTGATACTGGTATTTATTTTCCAAATCCCTATCAAATCTTGCGTAGAATTTGGTGGAATTTGTTAAATATATCGTCATTTTCAGCAAATCCTGCCAAATCTTACGCAAGATTTGGTAGGGATTTGGTAAATAAATACCAGTATTAGAAAGAGCGATTAAAACTGATTATAATTGACACGAAGATTTGGTTGGATTTGGTGGGTTTTCATTCAGAAAAAATTCAATCTTTGTACAAAAAATAAGGATTTGTTGCATCCCTAGTTGTAGAGTAATTTAAATCACACTTCTTTCTTCTAGTATTATAGTCATATTTCGCCGAATTAGTCGTTCAAAACTGATTATTTGATTTGTTTTGTTACAACCAATTCATAATCAATGAAAATCGTATAATTTTAATCCTTTATTAAATGATTAAAATTGATATTTTGCCACTTTTTTCTTGCATTAGTAAAATGGAAGCAATTTATAAAGAAAGATGCCTAACTAAAGAATAACCTCCGAATTAGTAATAAGAGACTCGCGAAATCAGACGACTCGAAATGAGGGTATCTGTGAATGGGATATGTTGATGTAAACGAAGAGAACACCATCAACCACATTCACACTCACACAGAGTTTTAAAAGGTAGTAGACGTTAAGAAAAATTTGCCAATGTTAATAGCTGTATCAATATATAATCGATAAGAGGAGTATTGTATTCTATTTTTTCAGGATCTATACATACACATTACTTGCAATATTATTTCATGTGAGACATTAGTGCGGCAACGTTTAATCTCTTGAAGCGAATAAACTTGAGACAGGATAATAATGGGAGCTTCACTCTTAGCCATGGCGAATCGCGCGGCGATTCTATTCGATTTCTTTAGCTGTGTCATGAAAGCAATTTGTTCTTAAATATGCAATGACTACCTACTCTATATAGATCATGGAGCTTGTATAAGTTGTTGATGACATGATTCCTTACGTATATGACTAATCATGCGAATAAAGATGTAAGCAATTTTCAGGATACTATTAAACATAGTCTTATTTGCTTGAAAACTGAAGGCGACGTTGAAGAAAATGGCTGCTGATATTTCGTAGAATTATCGTGTGACTTTAGAATGTGATTTCTTGCTATAGATGCTTCAGTTCTGATATATCGTCGAAATATCGGCAGATTTTTGGCTAACGAGATTTCCAAATAGTAGGTCGTACAACAAATTATTCGTGGCAAAGAAGGATCGTTTTTTATTTATACACATATCCTACGAATATAAGTATGAATTAAAATAGATAAGAATAAACACAAATCACTTTAATGCTGTGATTGAGCATTCTTGGACAAACTCAGAAATATATCAATTTCCAATGCGCATGTCATAACAAAAACAATCGTCTAAATTACATCGCACTATTTGATAATTGTTGTTGTTAATGACCACAAGATTTGATCTCGTAAGAACTGTTGCAAGTACTGGTCTCATTACCATCTTTTCTTATGTAAATTTCACAATGAAGATTGACGAAGAGATTATCATTTTTGGGTGAGTGCGAATCAACTAGATTTTCTTTCATGGTATTCAATACTTCTTGAATAGCAAGAGAAGGTTCAAGAAAACGACTTGCTTCGAAACTATATAACAATGGGAGGAGAGTTTTCATTCTTTTCCTGAACAGCAACAGTTTCTTTTTTCTGAAAAACTCTAACTACTAATGGCATGCGACTTCTCTAAACTGGCATCTCATGTATGCTTTTTATCGGCATCGTATTATCGAATATACTGATAGAGCTAGTCGTTACAGTAGCATGTGACAGTTCACCAGTGAGTATAATTGATAAAAACTGATTCTGCCGCCAATGTTGATGGTTGTTCGATTTTCTTGTTAGATGATTTTTCTACGCATTCATCGTTCCGATTGTATTGTAGCATTGCTTGCATGAGCAGCGTTTGTGCAAACAAAGACAACAAATTTCATCAATACACGTTGTTAAATAAAATGCATGAATAGTGCAAAACATATAGTTACCATCACTTCTCACTTCAACTAAATTTTGCATCATGATTCATAATTTTTGTTTAGTTTTCTAGCAGAAATTTTGACTTCCTGATCAGTCGAGTAGAAATCTTTAACGCAGAGTAGTGTAGGTGGGTCTATCAAACATGCAGCATGATCATGTCATGAAGATCCATACATCTTACTTTCAGGTTCACGTAACTTTCACATTGGTCTTTTATTCTAGTTAATAACCAGGCGTAGAAAAATATCTCTAGCTTCATTAAGGCTCACTTCAGATAACATTGAGTTCAAACGGATATCGTAAATCAAACAAGTCGTTTGTTCTAATCTTTCCGTAACTAACAGCATTGCCTGCACACTCGCTATCAATGATACTGAAGTGAAAGAAGAAAATTTATTCATATTCTTCATTTTGTTCTTTGTTGTGGTATCCTGTTAAGCACTCTGCGCCTTTTTACATTAGTAGTTATTTCCGAAAAATAAGAATTATCTCAAAAGACTATAGCACTTCTAATAGGGATCCAAGCAAACCTGCTTAGCACCATCTGATCTTGCTGAACACTACGTAGCCAAATCCCTTTATCCTTTTAAAATTATTTTAGATCCGAACCGAAAATTTCTTCAGTCGAAACTTCAGTAACTCATAATCGCAAGCACATTAATTCTATAAATAAGGTGATGATAGTTAGAAAATGCGAACCTAGGCTACCTTTTACTCACGTATATGGTTCTTTATCAAAAATATGGAATCAACGGTTGCACTATATCATGAGTGACTTCTTGTAACCAATTCAAGGCTTTTTGAGATCACCAAAAATTCAGAAAAAACTTTGTTTTATTGGTAAGAAACAATTTTCATCATTACAAAAAATCCAAAACTTTCCACACATCATTAGACCATCATGTGTGTTCAACAACACATATTCTTTTCAAAATGAACACATGCAAATGTTTTCTTGTAGCATCGACCAATGTTGGCAGTATGAATCAATCACGAGCATGGCACAAAGCGACCTTATTAGCAAATGGAAAAGTGTTAGTTACTGGTGGAAGTAATCCTCTTACTATAAATACTGCTGAATTGTATGATCCATCAACAGAAACTTGGACAACTACTAGTAGCATGAAACATCAACGAAGTACGCATACAGCAACCTTATTAACAGATGGTACAGTGTTAGTTACTGGTGGAAGTAATCCTCATACTATAAATAGTGCTGAATTATATGATCCATCAACAGAAATTTGGACAACTATTAGTAGAATGAACCATGAACGAAGGGAGCACACAGCAGTCTTATTAAAAAATGAAAAAGTGTTAGTTGCTGGTGGAAGTAATCCTTCTGCTATAAATAGTGCTGAATTGTATGATCCATCAACAGGAACTTGGACAACTACTGATATCATGAATCAATCACGAGCATGGCACACAGCGACCTTATTAGCAAATGGAAAAGTGTTAGTTACTGGTGGAAGTAATCCTCTTACTATAAATACTGCTGAATTGTATGATCCATCAACAGAAACTTGGACAACTACTGGTACCATGAGTCAATCACGAGCATTGCACACAACCACCTTATTAAAAAATGAAAAAGTGTTAGTAACTGGTGGAAGTAATCCTTCTGCTATAAATAGTGCTGAATTGTATGATCCATCAACAGGAACTTGGATAAACACTAGTAGCATGAAAATTTCACGAATAGACTTCACAGCATCTGTATTAACAAATGGAAAGGTGTTAGTTGCTGGTGGACTTAATGGTAATGGTTATTTAAGTAGTGCTGAGTTGTATGATCCATCAACAGAAACTTGGACAACTACTGGTACCATGAATCAACCACGAGCATGGCACACAGCGACCTTATTAAAAAATGAAAAAGTGTTAGTTACTGGTGGAGATAATGGTACTGATTATTTAAGTAGTGCTGAATTATATAATCCGTCAACAGAAACTTGGACAATTACTGATATAATGAAGAGCCAACGAGTGGAGCACACAGCATCCGTGTTAAGAAATGGAAAAGCGTTAGTTACTGGTGGATAGCCAAATGTTAGTGTGATTTGAACAGTGCAGAAATATGCATGAAGCGTTCCAAAAAGTAAACACAACAAACAACTTTTGACATTTGATACCATTATTCTTGTTTGCGAGTGTTATCCTTCAAAGTCCAACTATTTTATTTGTTCATTGTTTCCTATTGTACCTCTGGCTATTTTCCTTGGAATTTCTTTGCGATCTACTATCATAATAAACTATTGAAACCTTCTACGATAGTTTTGTGACACACGATTGGTTATGAGTTTCAAATTACATAGAGAGACAAGTGAATCCCATATCACCCTAACTCGATCTCAAAGTTCACTACCGAAAGATAGAACAGATAACGTTCTTTAGCGTCACAAAACTAGATCTGAATTGTCTAAACAATTCGAGTCTATGGTGTCTTAACTCTTGCTTTTCAGCGATCGACGATTCAACGAAGATTAGCAGCAAACAATTGTTTACTTCGAATTCGATTGAATGAATAGAGAGTTCAGTTGAAGACGTGTTTCATAATCTTTATTAAGATTCATTTATCAATGCCACGCATTCTTATGCAGTACACTCAAATCTTTAGGTAAGAGTGCAGAGAATAATATTGCTAATACAAAATACAAAAAACTAAGATTTTAAATGCAACACAGGAAAAGTCTTTTTTAATTTCTCGACAAGAAAATTTACAGACGCAGACAATCAAATGAAACTACATAGCATAGTATTAGGTGTCCTGCATTGCCTTCTTTAGAGTAGTATTTTTCTGTTAATTTGTTTTCAATTAAAGAGAGTATTCACCCGAATACGAGATAACATAGTCTGAAAGATTTTTTCGATTTAATTATCTTATAGCACTCATCGTACGAATTCAATTCGCTAACACTTTTCGGAAAGACATGAACATGTTGCTACACTTCAAGAAACAAATAATGGTTTAAATGTGATCGTAATTATTCCATCGTTAGTATTGTTAGTTATTCCACATAGAAACTCATATTTTCTTTACATTTTTCTGCAAGACCTTTTCTCGTCTGAAGCCACATGTTCAGCTACGAGTTAGTGATGAGGGTTGCTGTTGAAGTGTGACTTCTTATTGCTGTGTGTTTGTTTCTTTTGAAAACTGACATTGAGAAATCGGTGCGGCGAGCAACTATAACATGTTCCGATTTTGCTTAAATCTGTACAGTCTTCATACTTTCGATGACAGAGTTAAGTCTCTATGAGGTAATCGGCAAATTTATCGGGCTATATGAATGATGGAATGGATTTGTTTTTGTAGATGATGCTTATTGCCAATGATTACAAAATTGGCCACATGATCTTTCTATCAATGGAGAGGATTTAGTTCTTTAGCATGGTGAATTTTCGAAGTTTTTTTCACTGATCAACAGTCTAATCATCAGAATCTGCTTTAAGATGAATCTTCGCAATGACTTTGCTGGGTGTACGTTGTCGGCTTGTTCTGCTGATGGTTAAATGATTTTATATGATCCCGCAGAAGTCTTTTGTGATTGAGAATCAAATGGATTGGTTATCGCCTAACTTGTCTCCATATGGTTGCATAATAACACTCACTTTCATTTCTGTTATAAGTTGTTTCAAAAGTTATCATTAGTACATTGTAAATGAACGTTCAGATGAACCTTATCAATTCGAATAGTTTTCATGTAGTTTGCAGGTTCGATATTTAATCTTTTATTTATTCAAATAATTACAAGGTAAAGAAATGTGTGATCATCTATCGAAAGTAGGTCTCCAGTTGTCCGAGGCAAGTCTTTATCTTGTTGTTATATTAACAAAAATTTACATAGTTTTTTTTCACCACCGCTTTGTACAGCAACAATTTGTGACATACTATTAGAATGTTTACACACTAGTTCTTCTGTCATAGTTAGACTGTTTCGATTCTCAACGATGAGTTTCGTGTTCAAGATTGATGACATATTGAAGGTGTAGTTCCTTAATTGGTGAATATCTCTCTTAATATATTGGAGTTATGTTTCATAAGTATAATGAACAATTAGTTTGTTCATTGATTTCGATTCATTAGGAACTCATGTTAAATCAGAATGTGGATGTGAATGGATGTCGGTGAGTGTGAGCCTTCTCTTCTCTATGCTCACACTCCAAAAAACTCTAGAAAGTCTAACATCTGTTATTCTCGATTACTAAAGTCTGTAATGGGAGCCGTTGCTAAGTGTCTGTAACGGAGAGGGACAGGGGAAAGCCGCAAAATCTCGCTCTTAAACTATCACTCACCATTTTCTTCGAAAATATATGTGAGTTCTGTTATTATATTTTTAATAGTCATCTTTGTTGTTCATCGCCTTTACCATCATCAGTTGTATATTTCATTAATTCCTTGTTGTAATTTATCAGCGACAAAATCGAGAACGCAAACACTGAAAGCCCACAAACTATTTTTATCAATGATTTTAGTGAAGCTTTGATTCCATCTTTGCAAGTGAAATTTTTCCTTTCGATAAGCAATCTTTAATGGATTAGGTTAACTAATAGCATATTCATATAATTCTATTCAACTTAAACGATTGTATTCTATTTCAAATCTTGCTTATTGTTTATTGTTGGTATTTCAATTAGAAATTTTGAATAAATTTGATGAATTGTTTTTGTTTCGTTGTCATTTAATATTTTCGTACATCACTTATATATTGTTCAATAAACTTTGTATAATTTGAACAAAATTAACATAATAAACATTCATTCATAATGATACTTTGCATCATGTCTACCCATCACCGTCTTTTTTCTCTCGAAATTATTTTCTTTCATTCATTTAAGCACTCATTTTTTTATTAGATTCTTTTGGGGATTAAAAAAAAGCATTTTTGCACAAATAATATTTCAACGTTTTTTTTTCTATCATAATATTAAAAACAAATCAATAGATAAATTAAAAAAGAGTGTGGGTCTGGAAGTGAGTCTTCTATTGTTTCACACCTATACGTACACATCCATCCTATTCTAAGGGTTCTTAGAACTATCTAAGAATGTAATTTCAGGTCGAAAATTCAGTTAAATGATCGCAACTCGGCTCCGAAAGCTCATAGGGATCATTCATTTTAAACTTGAGCTAGCCTTACCTGGGGATTCTTGTAAGATAGAGCTTGTTTGGTTAGTCCCGAACTTCGGGTTCGGATCTAAAAATTTTGGACTCCATGAGCTTCAGTCATCTGATAAATATGTAAGGTGTGCTAGTCACCGAATGCAACAAACGGGAAAAAATATCTCGTATCGTCGGAGTGACTTTCTATTCGGATTAAACATCTGTTCGCAATAGAAGAGCCTCCTTGGAAAAACAAAGCGGCGAATAGAATATAATAGAAGAGTCTCTGAATTAATTAAGCTTTCGAAAAATCGGAAGTTCATATAGTACATTTATGTCAAAATACGCCAAGTTTTGAGTTGAAAATTTTAAAAGACTAAGGTCAATGTTATTGGTGAACTTTTAAAACCCTAAAAATCTCCTCTCAAATTCTTAAAATCGTTTTGACTTTCTGAAAAACTTTTTAAATTAAAACTTATGAAAATTAAATGAGACACAATAGAAGGTCCACCTAAAAAATTTGTATACTAGAGCATAATAGAAGACACAGGGCTTTCTATTTCGAGGAAAAGTTCAGAAAATTTCATTACGAATATAAAAGTAAGATTCGACTAGATCCGAGCCCAAAAGTTTTGCACCTTACGGGCTCTACTCGTCAACATAAAAGAAATTAATGCATTGGAAAGTTCGATAATCACTGGATGTTTTTTTTTTCTGTGCGTGAATCCCTATTAGAACATTTTTCATAGCGATGAAGACAAAGTAAAAACAAAACGAGAATAAATCTTGTTCAATAATTTTGATAGTCATTATATATCCAATGGAAAATAATCATTTTTTTCCATACAATCATTTAAATAAAAAACAATGAAGACAAAATTTTTGTTTTTATTTGACAAAATTTCTCTATTACAAAATCAATGGACGGATTAATAGGCTATTAATAAATGAATTCATCATTATGCATTATCTCTTTTACGTTGTCGTTCTTTTGCTTTAAGTTCAAATGTAATATTTAATGTTACATGTATAGTAATTGTTTTTGCATCAATTAAATTTTGAAATGATGTTGGTTGTCCTGTTGTAACTAATGTTCCTTCGTTTTCTTGATAATTTTCTTCAACAATATGAACAGCTTTTGCAACATGAAGACCAACTGTTCGAGCTACATCTTCAGCTGTATGTTTAGCATTACGTACTGCTTGTACACTTGCTTGACGTCTAAAAGTACGAAAAATAAACACCATAAAATGAATAATAATGATGATAGACTCATTCATATTTAATTACTTAATATTTTCAAGACGAAGTGTTGAATGAAAAAATACTGGATCAAGAACACATACAACAGGTGCATCAAGTTTTTCAACTAATTGATTATGACAATGTTGATAACGTTGTATATCAATAAATATTGCTGTTAATTCGGCACGTACTTCATACATTGTATCACGACGTATTATAGATTGTACAACAGATTTATCTGATTCTTTAACACCAAAATTTCGAAATGTTTGTTCAACATATTTTAATCGACGTATAACACTTGTTTTTGCTTCATTAACATTTGATTTTGTACTTGTTATAATAACAATTAATTTAACACGATCAGGTGGTAAAGAAAATTCACCCATGCCTGTTACAGTTATTTGTCGACGAGAATCTGTATCAGAAAATATTAATGCACCACGCATTTGTTCATCTGTATAAATACGATTTTTTGGAACAAGACCAAGACATGTTGCAGGTCGTTTTGATGTTATAAAAGATAAATTTTCTTCTCGACGCATTATATTTTTCTTTTTGATTAGTTAGAAAATCTTTAAAAGTAAAAAAATGCTAACGTATGAAAAGAATTCTTTCAGATAGAGGCAACAACGACAACAACCAACCGTATATGACTGCTTGTCTGTGTGTGTGTATGTCGATAGAAGAAGAAGTTTGACAGGCTGTGTAAAATAAGGAATAGTGGAGTATGTGGTAAAAGATGAAGAAAGAAAAAGAACAAGATTGCCATTGTACTTTTTTTTCCGTTCTTTCTTTCTTTCTCTCTTTCTTTTTTCTGTTAACTTATATTAAGAAAAAATGTAAGAAATACTACTGCATCAATATGTCGACACACATTGAAGAATATAAACGAGAGAATAGAACAAAATTAAGCATGGCTGATTCTGCATTTTTTATTTCGTTAATATGGTACTTAAAAAAAAAACGACGCCAGCCCTATAATCGATTATATTTCTAACATTCTCTTGAGAATAAATACTAAATCTTCTATTTATCTCAACTTTCTTTATTAAACATATCGTTTATTTTGTTAATATTCCTCGCTATAAACTGTTTCTTATCAAATCATTTTTTATCACACCGAAAATTCACATTTTCTTTCTAAGATTATCATTAACACAATCTTCTGTAAGTATTCACAAATAGTAACTGTCTAACAAAAAAACAAAGAAACTTATCATCAACATAATATTCTCTGTTATATATATTTCTAGTTTTCTATATGAAAATTATTATAATTAATCATTATCTTATTTTATCTATATTAATATTAGTATATTCTACTTAAAACTATTCTATTGATATGGTAAGATATACAACCATGAAAATTATTACTAAAATCGGTGGATCTATTCTTTTTATTATTATTGTTTTATCTATTTATCTAACATTTGATTTTGCAATAAATAATGCTTTGTCAAATAAATATGAACATATACATAATGATATGAAATTTAAAAAAACATCTACTTTATCGTTATTAAAAATTAAAAAAACTGATCAAACATTAAAATATAATAATGATAAACAATCTAATCATATTGCAAATCAAGAACGTCATATACGTAGTCTTAAAGATAAACAACAACAACAACAACAACAACAACATATTGTTAAACCTGCTAAATTTCATAAAAGTAAAACTGGTATTAAAATCAATCAAATAAAAAAACCTCTTAAAGAACAACGAAAACATTTATTAACAACAAAAATTATTCAGCATAAAGATATAAAATCTAAAAATGATAAAAGTCATTTGTAATTCGATGGTTCTTTTTGTTTTGTGAAATAGTAAAATCGAACATGTAAACACATACTATTAAGTTTATTAAGACTTGTATATGTAGTTAACTTAATTGAATGACGTTTCTTTTTTTTATATTGTTACATGTAAAAAAAAAACAAAAAATACTTTATTCTTTTTTTGTTTTGATCAATTAATATAATTAAATAAGCAGTTTCATATTAGAAAAACATTGTCAGAATGTCAATGGAAATCAAAATAAGCTTCAATCAATATTGATTTAAGATTATTAGTATAAACTATCATTATAAATATCAATTAATTGCGACTTTTGGTAGGCTTGTCGTGAAAAAAAAATTCAAAGTAAACTATAACAATTTCTAAGTAATAAATTTTCTTATACTCTATGTTGATGTTTTATTTAGGACTTCGTTTTCTCTTTGCTGAAATGTTTAATGATTTCCACCGCGTTCTGCTTGAAAAATGTGCTTTGTTCAGATAATGTTGTTAGTCCAATCCCTGCAGGATTAACATATGAAATACAATGTAGTTGCTCTTGTGAATTGATCTTTCAAATAAGGAAAAAAAAAACAATTGAATCTATAGAAGGAAGATTCACGGAGAATTTCGGGTTGCCAAATGAGCAGTCTTCAATTCATGTTTGTTGATGAATGTCTTATGAGAACGTCATGGTGTAAGACCAAAACATTTCATGCAGTTTGAATGCACCTAATTCAATATCGATAAACAAAATACGTAATGCAACCTTTAGTTTCTACTGAATTCAATGATAAGATTTTTTTTCATAAGATATAAAAAGTTCAAATCATTTTATCAGTATGACAAGGAACATTTTTGAAAAAAATACTTTCGAGTTGGTTCAACTGAAATTATCTGCAGAAGTAAAATGTTATTCTACATTTTTCACTATAATGTAAATTTATGATGAACAGTACAAGATCAAAGACTAAAATTTTTATCATTTATGGAATTTTTTATTTTACATCCAGTATAAAAATTTCAGTCTAATAGAGCGACTCATTGAAAAGTTATAGAGCAGGCAATTTTCAGAATATTACTGCGCAAAGTAAGTATAATGGTCTTTTTCTCTGAAGCAAAACTAATCAGAAAAACAACATTTTCACACCAGTTTATTAGTTAAAGAATTCTCTTTCTTTTCATATGATCTGTATGCCGTCAGCTCTATCATAAGGAGAATTAAATTCGAATTTGTGTCATTTGACATAAAACCATACAAATGCCTGGTAAATGATCTAGATGTTGGATGAAGAATTGAAGAAGGAATCAAATTTCAATCAATTACATATTACGATAGAGCGTTGATCACTACAATCAATAAACTATTCACACCTTTTTTTCTTTATGATAGTCGAAAAGCTTCCTTTTCTTTGCATATGTCCGCAAAAAATGACGTTTTTTTTGTAATATGTCTCATAACTCAGCGATGGTATAAGCTAAAGAGCTGGAATTTTATGTGAGTGTTGGACACTCAAAAAGGAATAATATTTACAAATGATTATTCATATGTTAATCAACATACGATCAAAAGTTTTCAGAGAAAAGATTCTTTATCAGTCTAGTTTTGTATAGAGTGATATTGTGATTCATTCAAAATCTTGAATTTACTTTTTTGATAACATCTAATACATGTGAATAATACATTAGTAGAAAGTCAATTTTGGTTTTTATGTCTACAAATCATTGGTAGAAAAATTTTCTTCGAAATATTTTTCTTAATTTTGCTTTTTGCTGATTAAATATCACATTCATTTAGTTCAAATATGGTTATTTTTCAAAATGTTAGATATATCAAAAAGAGTTTGTTGAATAACTCAATAACATACATCGAATGACAATAGTGTCTATTATTTTTAAAGATTCATTCTGTAGGGACTCGGTGGATTGACCATAAAGACAAGAAAAATCAAGACTGATAAGACGACCAACTTTCTATGTCGAAAAATTATTTTGACTAGATACTTCTAATGAGCTGCATGATAAAAAGAAGTGAGAGTATACACATATAATAATCTCGGTAAAGTTTTCTCAGTCAGTATTAATTGAACAAATGCGAAAACAATCTTAGAGATTTTCCTGCCTTGACAATGTTCGAAAAATAAAGTTAACTATTTCAATCTGTAGTCCCTTAGCCTCTAGACAACGTCAGATAACTAAATCTGAATAGTCTCTTTTCAGCTAAGATTTTTTAAAAATATTTTGACGTAAAGGGATTCTCATCTCAGAATTCAGTGATGAATATTAATCGAATTGATTTTCTTTCTAAATTCAGCAAAAAGTAGGTCACTTTCAACTACGTTACAAGAACGATTATACTTCAATGTACTCGAAAACATTTTCACTTTTGTTCCTTTTCCTATGAATTTATTGAAAATACTCTAAAGTCTATAACAAGAAAGGTAGCTCACTTCTACATGTTTAGTATTCGTCATATGATTTCTTTCTTTAAATTCCTACAGAAATAAGTCCGATAAAAATTTTCTTAAAGAACTTGACGATGTATCTTCTAAAAAAATAATCAAGTCTGACGAGGAAAGTCTCCCATTTGGTTAACCATTTTTCAATCAGAACAATGTAGCCCATGTGAGATCCTAATGAGTTATGAATATTCTCAGAAGAACTAAGACTGTTAGGCAATATCTACCTTAAATAGAATAGTGCATCGTAAATTTTTTTAGGTCATTTGGTTTCCTGTGACCCTGACATAAGAACATCTAATATTTACTCATAATTCCTAACTTATGAGTCTCACAAATATTTCAAACATATATTCGAACACAGCATTAAATTCTGATTCTAATTCAATGTTTTTTTTTTGAATTTTCCATTGACTCTCTTCATCAATCAAATAATGAAGAAACATTTTGTCTAGAGACTTTCGCACCATTTGTTATTATCACAAATGCATTGTATATAAATGAAAGAATAATTTCTTTTTTCATCACTATTTATATAACAAAAAGAAAAATATAGAGTCAAAACAATACGACTGAGTACAAAAGCAAAAAACGAAATGAGCCAGAACCAAGAAAAAGAAAAAGAAAAGCTCGATTTTTTTTGACAATATAACTTTTTTAGATTACAACAAATACCTATAATCGAACACTTAATAATATTCTATTTATTCTAAAAAGAAACCAAAAACTTTTTTTTCATGTTGTTTTCTCTCTCTTTCTCAATATTTCATAATTATTTTAATAAAAAATATTAATCATTTGTTGACAATGGTTTATTTTTTTGATTATTCTTTTGTACTTTCCATGAACTTATTGGTAAATCTTGTAAACGCATCATTGCTCCATATTTCCATATAAACCAAATAATTCCAGCTATTGTAGATATTGTTACAGCAATATAATATGGATCAATATATGGTCGACATATACCACCTAACAAAGCACAATTTTTTTCTTCAGCTGGTGTTCGACATCTATCATCACTTAATGTACATTTTTTCCATGTTAAAAAATCAGCCGAATATAAAACAGCTGTTGAAACCCAACTTGAACCTAAACATTCAAAAATTATCTTTTTTATTAATTAATAAGCAAAAACAAAAAATAACTGTTTACCAAGATTTGTTAATGTATTAAGTAATGTCATATATGTTCCACCTATTTTAGGATCACTGACTTGTGCAAAAAATGCCATTTGTGAAACAAACATACTGTATACAAATACTTGTTGTATACTAAAGATCATAATTGCTAATGTATAATAATACCAAGGAAATGTTTTATTATAATTTTGAAATGATGGTGTAAAATAAACAAATAATGCCATTATAACACCAAGAAATAATCTATTTAAACAAAAAATAGAAAAAAATAAAATTTAATTAATTTAAGATAGAAAGAGCAAGTCTGTGTAAAAAACCACAAATCTGTCTATTCTTAAACTTGTTAAATTCATGTATAATTCAATGTAGAACTTAATACTGAATCATTTGGGTGCTGAAAATTCGGCAGAAAGTGCTTTCATTTTGGAAGCGCTAGAAGTAGTGACCAGAAATGAGGAAGAAAAAATAAATGACAGTTTCAAGTCCAGCTGCTGTCCAAAGCTACCACGAAACTGTTAGAAAATCGGACACTCAAAAGAAAAGTGCATAATTGGAAACTATGATCAGGAAAAAAACAATATTAACCTTAATTTCTCATTATCAAAATTGCGAAGTATCTTTCTAATTACTTTTCACAGTGATGACATTTTCATCTCAGATAGAGTATTCAATTCTGCATCGATTCCTGTTGTCACACCAAGTTTATTAGAAAAAAAAAGTTACCCACGTATTTTATTCGTCACTTCATTAGATGACTAATGATATATTGGCTAACGGTTTGGTTATGTTTACAGACTTGCCGCCGGCCAGACATATATGGCAGTCAGTTGCAATAACTGTATATACACCAACCAGAAGCTGTTTTCAAAAGCTACAAAATCGAGTATTTGACAAATTCAAGAGAGTTCTGATCACTTAAGAAATTCCACATACATCATCCTTTTAAGACATATTTTTTGTGCCTATGCAGTAGATTTCGATAAAAAAAGTTATGAATTGAGCCAAATCCAATACGATATTCGATTTTGTAACTTTTGATTTGTCTATATAGACTCACTGCAACTGACTTTCATGAACATCTATTCAGTAGTAAGTCCATAAACATAACCGAATCTTCAGTTAACATACTATTAGCCGCCAATGAATTGACGAACATAAGACACGAATATTTTTTTTTTTCTATAGACTTAATCTTACAGCAATAGATACAAGCATTAAATTTCTTTAATCGAATAATACATGAGTTAAAAAAAAAATTGGCAGGATGTATGGTCTTATATACGGTTCAGTGTTTACCTAAATGGATGTGATCTAGCAAAGACATTCAATGGTTTTGTTCCAGTTGTATATTTTGAAATAAAAAATGGTAAAAGAATTTCTAATGGTGTTAATGGTATAGCTAATAAAGCTAATGAATCTTTTGTAACACCACGTTCAAGTAATTCAATTCCAGTCATAGAATCTACTGCACAAAAACCAATCTAAATGACGAAGAAAAAAAAAAAGGAAATTTTAAACAAAAAATAATTCATTAATATCTATAAATTATACTTTAATTGTTAATAAAATAACTGCCATACTTCGAACTGATGGTAAACGAAGAACTTTAATAAGAACTTGATAAGTTTCAATAAGACCAAAATGAGGTTCATTTGAAATATAAGTTTCATCAATTTCATGTTTAAATAAGGCAATTAATGTTGTTGATATTGTAAAAATAATACCACAGAAAAGAAGAAAACCTTTAAATAGAAATATTGTTATTTTTCTTCTATTTTTACTTCAAATTCTAAAAAAAAAGAAAATTTTCTAGTCGATCAAAATTCAAACAATATAAAATTTTGTAAAGATATTCAATTATTTCAGTAGTTGAAAATACTTTTTTTTTTTTTTTCTTTCAATAGAGAAAGATCGAACTAAAAGCACTTCATCGAATTTAAACAATACTCTATAAAGATTTCGATCTAATTTTTAATATCATAAAATAAAATTTTCCTTTTATAATACTTTACCAGACAAAGTAATTAATCCAGTTGATTGTAATTCCAAATTTAATGGTTGACGTACATAATGATTTGCAAAATCTTTTGATTCAAGTGCAAGAAAAACAACATTTCCCAAAACATATCCAGCTGTTTGACCAACTGAATTACATGTACTTGCCCAACCTAGATTTTCTCTATAGACAAAAAAAAAAAAAAAAACACAAAATTCTCAAATTAACTATTTGCAATAACTTCAATTTTTATTTACTTTGAAAGCATTGAAAGTGCCCAACCATCGACACAAATATCTTGAGTTGCAGCCAAAAATGATAAACCAAAAAATATCGATGTTAAAAAATAAATACCTAAAATTTATATATCAACAAACAAGAATAATAATAATAATAATAATTTCAAAAATATACGTGGATGATGATTAGCTGGTGTTGGTGCTGGATCATCTAATATATCAAATATATAATATGATAAAATTATCATAACAAATCCGATAATATATTGAGTTGGTATAAGCCATGTTTTTCTTCGACCAAATCTTTTTAAATATAATGCATCAACAATAGGTGCCCATAGAAGTTTAAGACTAAATGGCCAAAATGCAAATGAAAATATAGCTTGTTGAGACCAACTAGCACCATATGTTTGTATTATAAGTGGAATTGAAGCTGCCATACCAAGTGGTATACCTTGTAATAAATAAAGAAATAATAGAAGACTTATATTCCATTGATCTTTTTTCCAATTATTTTCTATTAAAATAGATGAGGTTTTATGAATTTTTTCATCGTCAGAAGATTCAGATGATGATGATGAAACATGACTATCATTTGATTGTGTTTCTTCAATTAAAGATTCGTTGTTATTTTGTTGATTTTCTAATCGTTGACGAACTTCCATTGTCAAATGAAAAAAGATAAAAATATTATAGAAGAAAAAAAAATTTTTATTCGATGACTCATCAAACTGTTTATTGGTTAATATTCTTAACGATTTATTTACAGCGGTGGATTTAAAGAGGAATGGGACGAGACAAACACCTTTCCTTTCGGAAATATTTTTCTCTGTAAATAAACCAATATGACCTTTAATGAACTTCAAAAACAAATTTTCTAATCATGATCACCTTCGTTCGTCTTTCCCAAAATACTAATTAGATCGTCTAATGTTTGTTTATTTATTATTATAAATAAGAAAATTATTCGAGAATCCTGAAAAAAAAAAAAATTCAACAACTTTTTTTATTTTTGATTGGATAAATTTAAACCAGTTATTGTCTTTTTTTTTTTCAATGAGTTCGGATTTAGTTAAATTTGCTCCAAGTCAATCAACTATTTATTTATCAAATATTTCTTTTAATTTAACAAATAATGATCTACATAAATTATTTGATGAATATGGAAAAGTTGTTAAGTAAGACTTCATTTTCATTTTTTATTTAGATTTTTTTTTTGTTGTTGCTGTAATTTTAGAGTAACAATTGTTAAAGATCATGAAACACGTCAAAGTAAAGGCATTGCTTTTATAGAATTTCTTTTGAAAGATGATGCTATACGAGCAATAGAAGCTTTTAATGATAGAGAAGTATGTTTTGAAAATAGAATAAGAAATTTTTGTAAAACAAAAAAATTTATTTAATTTTAGTTGAATGGACGAACTGTAAAATGTAGTTTAGCAATTGATAATGGTCGTACACGAGAATTTATACGAAAACGTCAATATCCAGATAAAACGAAATGTTTTGAATGTGGAGTAAGGAGAAAAGAAATTTTTAATTATAGTTATATGTAAAACATTTTTTTTGGTTTTATTTTAGGAAACAGGTCATTTAAGTTATATATGTCCGAAAAATACATTAGGTAATCGAACAGTACCTGTTAAAAAACGAAAGAAACTTAAACATAAAACTCAAGTCAATCCATCAAATGATTCGTAAGTCGAGTTGTTTTGTTTTGAAAATTTATTTGATTCTTTTATAGAGATTCCAATGAAAGTAATGATACACTTGCTTCAATAATTACTTCTCAGGTAAAATAAATATGATTTGTTTTTCATTGTATTGTCGCATGCCTTTTGATTTCATATTATAACGTAAAAGACAATTTCGTTATGTCAGATTGATTGATGAAGAGATATTTCTATTTTACATGTATTTTTCCATCATGACACATCCATCTTATTAACTATGAAAATTGCATATTGATTTATTGTTTTCTTAAGTGTCATATACCAAAAGATGCAGCTGATTTTCTACTACAAAATAGTTATAAAATGATTGATAGTTAAAGCAAATAGAGAATGAAAATCAGAAGTATTAATTTAAGATAGTTATTCAATATTTTTCGTTTTTGCTTCAAATCTAGAAAGAAAAGTTCGTGTATAATGCATCGCTGTTTCTTATGATTCAAATGACAAGATTGAAATTTTTCTAGAAAATTGTCTACAAAATAAGCTAATTTTAATTTAAATTAAAATAGTCCAAGGGCTGTACCGCTGCTCAGATAGGTTTTTGTTATTGATATATTTTAATTTAATTCAACATATTTTTCTATGCAGATTTTGTTTGATAAATATATATTAACAATAAATATGTAATTAATCAACTAACTCATTTTGAAACTATAGTATTTGAAATAGGTGTGATACAATTTCCCGTTTATCTTTCCCATCGAATAAATAATCTGATCATATAAATGAGCTTGTTCGGATTACTAAAATACAACAAGAATTATGGGAAATGGTAATGAATAGTATTTATTTTTCCATTGAACTTTAGATCTCTGAAAAGAAATAACTTTATCGGTTAGCCGATCCCTCATTATTCACGATTATGCTCTAGCTATCTACAATATTAATTTCATCAGAGCTCATAAACTCTTATTAGAATGGCGTCCATTTTATAGTGACTATTTAAAGGACGAAAAACTCCTTGATGCGCTTTTTAGAGTATAACTTGCTAATACTACACTGAATTGATTTCAAAATTTTTAGAAAGCTTTATCTGCATCTAAACATTATTGTCTACAAGTCTCGCAAAAGAATTACCTTACAAAGGAAAATAGCATGTCAATAAATATCGTGTTGCTGTCAAGGACTTGGAGATCTCTAAACACAAAAATTTTGCAGCTAATTACATGATCTTTTGAGTGAAGAAAGATCATACACTGTGCGTTAGTTTTATATTAAAATATTAAGGATTAGTCATGTATTTGATAAAAAAATAGCGTAAAATTTGATAGACAGCTATTTTAGGTCAACAATCTTGATGCAATAAATAGGATCCATGTTTTATAATTTTTGATGGATTATATGCATACAAATTTTCTAACCTCGAGTACCTGAGATCTGATAGAAGAAGATTTTTGTCTACATTTGTAAATCAATAGACATATGTCATGATTTTTCGTAAATATTCTCAAGTATAATAGTTTTGTTCTTGGTGAAAGCTTATACATTAGTACATGCATGTACAATTAAGTATAGATTTGCAAGATCTTGAGAAATAATTTCAAAATACTGAACATTACAAATTTTGACTCCAATTGATGAATATATTGAGATTTTTACGAACAAAAGGATGAGTGATATTTGACTAGATAAGCTCTAACAGCGAAATTACATTCAATATCAATGTATATTCGCATACTTTCTAATCGTATTTTTCATTTGATTTTCTGACTTTTGTTCAATACATAAACAAAATAACACTCAATATCTCTTACTACATAATCATTCGAAACAGTTTTTATCGATGCTAATATCAGTTTATACCAAGAAATATTAGTTCCGTAAGATTTTCTTTATCGAAATTTAGTCAATAAAATCTTCTACCATTTCTTAATAAGAAATAAATAAGAGAAGATTCAGCCCAAAGTATGAGAAATCATGTTTTGATCAATATAAAAATCAACACGAGTTTTTAGAAGACTTTTTCTTGCACGCTTCCATACTTATTTAGCATAGGCTTGATGAATATTCCTATATCAAAAGAACTAGTTTAATATCTAATGTCATAATAATAATATAACTCATGACAATTAATTCCATCAATACGTCGAAATTATTTCTAAAGATCTTATAAAACTATAAGAATAATCATTCATTGAATTCAAATTTTATCTTCGTTAAGAATGTGTCATGATGGAAAAATATACATAAAATGAAAAGCACCTCTTCATCAATCAATCTGGTACCATGAAATTGTGCAGAACTAAATAAAAAGTAAAAATTCAATGGGTTCGAATTTTTTTAAGTTGTTCTAAGCAGAACTGTCAAATCTCCTGATTTAACCAGGAGAATTCTGGTTTCTTGATTTTTTTTTCTCATCTTAAAGTTTAGTGATCTTTTGAATCATTGCGACTATAGAAGGAAAAGAAACGAAAAAGCGAAGTGCCATGTCCATGTATAAGATGCGATCATTTGGTATAAGAGTATTTCCATCAGGAGTCAACCAGAAAAAAAAAGCTAAGTATTCAAAATAATTTTCTTTTCATCATACAATGTAGAGCTTTGTTTGCTCATCATTTTGCTAAAATAAATTTTTGAATTTCATTTAAAAATGGCAAAATTATGGTTAAAATACTGATAAATAGCGTAAAATGTATTATTTCTTTTTTGTTAAAGAGTCAGAAAGTCGATTCGTATATCTTAAAATGACGGCATTCTGAAGAAATGTGAGATAGTGTGTTTTGTAGTGGAAAGTTTGCTCTACAAAACCTCATAATCAGTTTTTTCTTTACAGTCAAATAAGATGATTAAGTTTCGATAGAATTCTATAAACAGCATTCATCATAAAAATAGCAAAGTTAATATAATGAATATCAATCTTAATGTATTGTCGAAATTTAATCATTCTATTTGACTGTAAGTAAAAAATTGACTATGAGATTTTGTAGAGCAAACTTTCCGCTACAAAACACACTATCTCACATTTCTTCAGAATGCAATCATTTTGAGATATATGAATCGACATTTTGGGATGTTTTATTGAAAAAAAATTCTATTTCTATTTTAGTAAAATGAACAACAAATTATGAGAAAAAATAACATTTTTTTTGAATACTTTGTGCTTTTTTAGTTGATTACCCATGGAAATACGCATAGAGTTTTACAATTACCTACTAAATAATGCAGATCTATTGCTACGAATTCAATCATCAGAAAAATATAGTCATATTCGTGTCTAAGAAATTTTTTTTGTATTTTATTTGCTAGTTTTATGAACGACTGAAATGAGTCTTTATATAAAATACAAACGATTATCTTTATTTTTTTATACAAAATTTGACCATCACGGATTTGAGAGAAGAAACTATCTATCGCTTACTTGAAATTAAATTAGAATCTTCTTCGAAACTAGATAGATATAATAGCTTCTTGATTTCGATACAAGTCTTCTGATTTTTATTCTGGTTTTTGAAATTAGAATTTGACAGCCCTGGTTCTAAGTCTTATAGGAATGTACTTGTAGTTATAATATGAAATTGAACAGTGTGCAATAGTTGGTATTATGTTCTCTCGTTAGTATTTCAATAATATCTTTCGATAATACTTTTTTTGTGATTCAATAGAATAAGCAAAAATCACCTAAAATAAAAGAATTCAATGATTTTTTAATATAGATTATTTCATGACTAATGTTTCTTGTTAATGAAAATGAGGAGTAAGACGATGCTCTAACATAGCTTTCAATGTTCATTCTAATGTTGACAATCAATTTTTTGACCATGGAATCTAATATTCTGTTTAATTAGTATTAAAATATGAAATAAGATCTTTGGAATAGATTGTACATTTTATCAGAACAACGTGAAATATTACACCATTTCGATGACTATAATAATAATGTTAGAACATCTTTCTTTGTTTATCATTAACAAGAAATATGTTTGGACGAATAATCTACGATTAAATACATTAATTTGTTCAAATTCGCATGGTTTTGATAATAATCTTTGCAATAGAAAAAAAAAACCGTACCATCAAAATTCAACCGAAATATTTATCATAGACTATTCTTTTCGAAGTATGTTTTGGAAAAAAATAAATCTAAAATTTGAACAAATGAATATTAACATAACATGAAAACTTGTTATAATTAAGAAAGAGAAAATTAGATCTTAATCAATTTTGTCCTTGTTTTAGATTGTTTTTTTCCTCCTGAGAACATGTGCTAGAAAGATATTTCCATATGAGTTTGTTTTCATGGTCTCATTAATATTATTGAATGTACATTTAATTATATCGAATTCTAGAAAAGAAGTTATTTGTTTATTATTGTAACTTGAGTTAGTCATATAATTAATTTCTAATTGATTATTGATAATTAATAATTATAGAATTAAATATTATTTAAGAAGAAAAAAATAATATATTTTATTTTATAGGAAAATCAATCAAAAATTATAATTGATACTTCACAAACAAAACGAAAACGTTATTGTCAATCTTCATATTTCAGTGATGAAGAAGAAGAAATTATTGAATAAACAAAAACCAAAAAAAAAAAAACTTAATAAAATTTTTTGTTGTATAGACATAAATATTTATATTTAAATATGATGAATAAACTAGCAGATGTCTTTAACAATCATTTTTCGACTGACAAAAATCTGTCATAATTAATATCAATATTTAACAATAAGTGAAATAATATATTGATCATTTATCATATTCTATTGTATTTGTCAAGGTATTATTTTTGAAGACTATAGACTTCTTTCTTTTTTTTTTTTAATTATATGTTATCTGGAGATATAAAATATCGATTGATTTATTTATATTCAATAGCAAAAGTACATTATTGATAATTGATATTTGTTTATGAAAGAACAAAGATGATCGAACATTAATGTTGTTGTCGTTGTTGTGTGTATTACGTTAGAAAATATGTCGAATGATTTCTTAGCATTTATATATATATATATATATTCCTATTTTCCAGAAAAATATTAACATATTGAAGTAATATTAAGAAAAAAAAGAGAGAGAAGAAAGCTTTATGATGATGTTAAATATGATAGGGAAAGACATATTTCATGTTTATGCAAAATGCGATTATGATGGAGAGAAAATTGATTCTACTGACAGGAAATAAAGGATTTTTCTCTTTTTCATAATAAATGTTATATAGAGAAGAAATAAGTTTTGTCTGTCATAAAAAAAAAAAAAGAAACATTTCTTTCCGCTACTTAAAGTAATAAACGAATGAAAATTTCAAGTATTTTTATTATTATCTTCATTTTTATTGATTCAATTAACAATTTTGATTTACCAGCTGAAATTCGTATTGGTAGATATTTTTCTTTTAAATATTTATATATATATGTATGTATATTAAGAATTGTATAAGAAAATTTTCTTCTTAGGAGCTATTTTTGATACTCATGATATATTATCTCGTCATGCATTTGAATATGCTGTTGCAAAAATTAATACACAAACACGTATATTTAAAAATTCAAAGATTGTCGTTAATCATATTGATATGGTTGATGCACATGATAGTTTTTCAGCTTATAAAATGAGTAAAAAAAGAAAACAAAAAGAAAATATTTCAAAAGATTAATTGTTTAAATAAATTTAGTATGTGAACAGTTACAAACTGGCATTGCTGCTTTATTTACTGGTCAACTTACTCCATCATTAGAGTTTGTTAGTACATTAACACGACAGTTACATATTCCATTATTTTTATCATCACCAGATTCACAAACTAAAGTTGATTATTATATAATTAATGTCCATCCACATTATACAGCAACTAGTCAAGCATATAGTGATCTCATTAAATTTCAGGGATGGAACGAAATAGCCATTATCACTGAACATGCTAAGAGTAAATAAAATAATTAAGAAACAAAAAAAAAAAAAAACAAGAAATTAATCGATCTTTTTTATGCATATAGATTTACTTTATCTCCAAGATTTACTTAAATTACCATCGGATAAAAATCATATGACAATTACTGTAAGACAATTGCGCGGTCGACCAGGTATTAATAATTGGTATCCATTACTTCTACAATTAAAAGATACAGGCATATCAAAATTTTTAATCGATATAAAAACTGATACTCTAGATGATTTCTTTTCACAAGTATGATAACAAATGATAAATGAATTTCAAAACAGAAGAATTTTATTTTCATTTTTCTAGGCAAAACTTGTCGGTTTAGTTGGACCCTATTATGATTTTGTATTAACTTCATTAGTAATATAAACAGAAAACATCATTATTATTTTTTAAATTTTTATTATTTATCTATAGGATATTTCAGTCGTTAAATGGGACAAGATTTTATATACATTAGTTAATATAACTGGTTTACAATTTTTTGGTCGAGATGATCCAGCAGTTCATGAATTTTTCGATTCAAATATTCTCAGTGTTAATACTCCATTTCAACCTAATGAACGTTCATTAAGAGTTCGAATGAAATTGAAATAGTTTTTTATTTTTATTTTTGAGACTTTTTCATAGGCATCTGCAGCATTGATGTATGATTCTGTTTATTTCTTTGCTCGTGCACTTAATCAATTTATTGAACAACATTCATTTAATATTACACCATTAACATGTGATGCACAACAACCATGGATACATGGTTCAGCATTTTCTTTATTCTTGAAAACAGTAAAAAAATTATTTCATCTTTTTTTGAAATTTTTTTTTGTTCGTTTTAAAATTAGTTCGAAGTAAACGGCATAACAGGAAAAATAAAATTTGATGATAATGGTCTACGAACAGATGTATCTTTTGAAGTTGTTGATTTAGCTGCTACTGGTGTTAATAAAGTATGAATAAATAAAAAAAAAAAGAATTTATTTTTTATTTTTATTTCTAGAATGGATATTGGTCATCAAATATTCCAAATCGACTTGAAGTTCAACGTAATTTTACAAAAGATTATGAAATAAGAAAACAAGAAATACAAAATCAAAGATTAAAAGTAACAACACTTATTGTATGTATTGATTCGTTTTTTAGAACAAAACTAAAAAAATTTATAAATATTTATTTCATAGGAACCACCATATGTTATGTGGAGTAAAGAAATACATATATATATATATATATACATATTTACATAAGAATGAAATCTTTTTGAAATTTCTTTAGATGGAAATGAAACGAATTCAACACAAAATTTTTTTGGTTTTTGTATTGATATTTTACTTGATTTAGCTGAACGACTTAATTTTACATATGAAATCGATATTGTTAAAGATAAAACATTTGGAAAAAAAAATGATAAAGGAGAATGGAATGGGATTATCGGAGAATTAGTTCAGCGTGTAAGTAATCATCCTTTTTTTTGTCTTCATTTTGACAAAATTAATTGTACTTTTTGTTTTTTATATTAGAAAGCCGATTTAGGTCTAGCTGGATTAACGATCACGTATCAACGTGAACAGGTATTTTCTATTTATTTAAATATTGAATTGATTGATTACGATTCGAAACACATATATTTCATTTGATATGAGGAATATTAAAGAAAAAACCATTCATTCAAACAACGACGTAGAAAAATAAATTAAACAATGATAAATATATTAGAAGATACATCCTAGCATAAAAGTCTTCCTCTCTTCTCTCGTCTCATTATTCTCTCTGCTGACTGTTTTATTGGTTTGAATCATTAAACTCGTTTTTCGTCGCCGACTCGAAGTTCTCCCGAGAATGCCATATAGTCAATTATACATTCATATCAAATATCAGGAAAAAAAAAGAGATAACTCAGCTATGAAGTATTCTATCAACCAATTCATTTGTATGTGATGATCGATTGTATTGAAACAAGTTCTAATCTATCCTAAACTACACTAAAATATAGTATTTAAGTCATTTTTGTAACCAATATTCACTTGAGATTAATAAAGTTCGATAAGAAAAGAATGGGAGGAGAAAAAAAGTCTTTTGCCCACAGGTTTCATTAATAAAAATTTCGGTTCTATGATCAACAAGAAACTTTTATTGATTAACATTCAACTCAATGATCTTTAGTATAGAAAATTTTGCATTATACATTTTAAGAACTAACAAATCTTCATAATGAACTAATTAGTTCTTCATAGAGTTTTAATAATATTCAATTTAGAAAGAGTAAATTCTTATAATTATGAAAATATATATTTATAGGCCATTGATTTTACAAAACCATTTTTAACACTTGGTATAAATATTCTATATAAAAAAGCAAAACGTGCCAAACCGAAATTATTCGGCTTTTTTGATCCATTAAGTCATGATGTATGGATTTATATGATTGCTGCTTATTTTGGTAAATTAATTAAAATTTATTTATTTTAATCAGATTATTTTCTTATTTTCTTTTGTATTTAAATAGCTGTTAGTTTTTCACTTTATTTGGTTGCAAGATTATCACCATATGAATGGCGTAGTCCATATTCATGTCGTAGAACTCATAATGAATTAGAAAATCAATTTACATTATTTAATTCATTTTGGTTTCTTATTTGTAATATAATGCATCAAGGTTATTTAAAAGAAAAAAAAAATTTTTGTTTTTGTTCAAATATTTCTATTTGAATAAAATAGGTACAGATTTAAATCCAGTAGCAACATCAACACGTATGATAAGTTGTCTTTGGGGATTTTGTACATTGATTCTTGTTTCATCTTATACAGCTAATCTTGGTTAGTAAAAAAAGTATTATAGAACTTTGTTGTTTTTTTTTTTATTGAAATGTTTTCATATGTTAGCGGCCTTTTTAACTGTACAACGTATGCAAACACCTATTGAAAATGCTGATGATTTAGCATCACAAGTAGATATTGCTTATGGTGTTCAACGTGGTGGTTCAACGGAAAATTTTTTTCGTGTATAATTATAAGAATATTTATTATACTACTTCGAAATATAATGTATTCCACTGTTTTTATGAATAAATTTTTCTTGATGAAAACTTTCGAAAATACTATTCTGAAACTATTTCTCTTTCGATCTATGCTAGTTTCACATTTTTCGCTTGTTACATTTGAGAGTTATATGACTGATTCTGAGACCTTCGATTTCAGCCGATTGATCTATGATCGATCATTGGGGAAAACAGTTAGACAAGAGTAATTTATTATGTTGAGTCGAATAGAAACGTTTGTTTTTAGATTCGAACTGATCTGACTCTATTATCTCAATATACGAGGTATTCCACAATTAGATTTTATATAACGAAGGCACTAATATTTTGAATCAGTTCGAATCTAAAAACAAATATCATCATTCGATTCAGCATAGTGCATTATTCCTCCTCTAAGCTACTTTCCTGGGTTATCATAAATCAATTGGCTGAAATCAGACGTCTCAGGAAAAGTCGTATAACTCTCAAATGGAACAAGCAAAGAATGTCGATCTTCTGTAGATCAAAAGAGAAGAAGTTTCTATCGATTAACTCTATTAAAAACCAAAATCAAAAGAAAGACAACTTTAGAATATTGCTTCCGAAAATTTTCACAAAAAAACTCACCTTCTTGATTCATAGCTGCTCAATCAAATTGTGATGGTCTCTTGAATAATAAAAACTTCAAATCTCTATAATGTTTCTATTAAAATTTTATTCAAAAAACAATGGAATATATATTATATTTTGAAATAGATAATAATTTATAATAAATTTTTTTTTTTTAAATAGGAATCTAAAATTCCTACATATGAACGTATGTGGAATTATATATTAGGTAATCAAGCTACTGTTACTGTATCATCAAGTACTGAAGGTATTAATAAAGTATTAGCAGGTGGTTATGCTTTTCTTATAGAGTATGTTATCTTATTTAAATATATAATTACAAAATAATTGAAATTAATTATATAGATCAACTACAAGTGAATATAATATAATGAGAAATTGTGAATTAACATCAATTGGTGGTTTACTTGATTCAAAAGGTTATGGATTTGGTGTACCACAAAGTAAATCTATTGAAATATAAAATAAATAAATATATTTTTATATTAGATTCACCATATCGTGATATATTAAGTGATACAATATTAAAATTACAAGATGCAGGTGTTATACAAAAATATTATAATAAATGGTGGAAAGAAGCAGCTAATTTAAATTGTGATGAAGAAGATAAAAGAAAAGAAATAGCTTCAGCATTAGGTTTTGCTAATATTGGTGGTGTATTTGTAATACTTGCTGTTGGTTTAGTTCTATCAATGATTGTTGCTGCAGTAGAATTTCATGTTAAAATAAGTCATAGAAATAAGGGAAAGGTATTTTTTGATTAATTAATTATTTTAAATAATTTATTTACAATAGAAAAACGAAAAATAATTCGATGAAAATTCTAAAATTATTTTGTTAGATATAATTACAAGAAGAAAATATTTGTTGAATATTTATTTTCGTTTACGAACAGTTATGAATCCAAATTTTCTGTTCAAATTCTTCATGAACTTGCCCTTCACAGATATCTTATCTCGTAAAATAGAATGCTGCTAAATTTTATACAAACAATGTGTCACAAGTCAAAGTCTAGGACAATTGCGCACCCTGTAGATTTTTACATGAGTTTTAATGAAAAAGATTATTATTATTAACTAATTTATTTAGCTGTTGCAATCCTATGTGACTCAAATCGGACATAGGCCGCCGGTAGTTCTATCCAACGAAATGTACATATTCGGTGATGCTGAAAATTGATCATAAACCTAAATGATTGCTTTGTTTTTTTTTTAATACATCAAGATGATTTCCACTGGTTGACTTGTACTTTTTGCCAAAACCTAGGTACATTTTCATAATTTTATTTGTTTAAAGTTCGATTAATTTTGAGGGAATTTAAAACACATCACGTGTAGTATTTCTAGTATAACAGAATAAATACATGATATAGACAGTTGATATTTTGAACAGATAAACTATGAAAATGAGGGTATATTTTAATTGGATATGATCTGTTTCGACTAACAAGGGAACATTCCCAAGTGATACGCACCATTTGGGTTCATATTGTGCTCATAAGTAGGGCCCAATAAGACTAGAAAAACTGAATGAAGGAATTTCGAACTGAAATTTTGCCTAACAACAGGTCTCATCGATGTTAGAAGTTTCCAAAAGTTTCGGCGAAAACGGATGCGCCCTTCTCGAGATATTGCATATTAGTGAAAACGGCGATTTTTCAAAAATTATCTTGAAATTGATTTCTCTTCAATGTGCAATGTCTCGAGAAGGGCGCATCTGTTTTCACTGAAACTTTTGGAAACTTCTAACATCGATGAGACCTGTTGTTAGGCAAAATTTCAGTTCAAAATTCCTTCATTCAGTTTTTCTATAAATTCCTTGCCCAAGGTCGAAAATTCACTAAAACGGTCATAACTTTGAAAGAAAGGTCTAATGGCATGAACTCTTTTAGGCTTTTTCTAGTCTTATTGGGTCCTACTTATGAGCACAATATGAACCCAAATGGTGCGTATCACTTGGGAATGTTCCCTCGTAAGTAAAGCTCCCTCATGTACCGTCCTTCTTAAGTTATGGTTATTTCAATGGTTTTTTCTTTACTTTTGGTGCGATACTTATAAATCTAAGAAACAAATTTTGATTCAAAACTTTGTTCATTACCAGCTCTTGAGTCCATTAGAATATTCTGAAAATTTCAGTCATTCTTCTTGAAATATCAAATTCTAAAAAGAACTTGATTGTCTGTTTTTTTTTCTACTCAATATCTGAAGAGCTACTTATGAAGTAAGTTTCAGAGAAAAATTTCTTTTGTTTGATTTTTTTATAAATATCGTACCATGCGTAAAAAAACCTAGTGAAACGGTCATAACACCAGCACATGGAAAGAAATTCTTCTAGTCTTCATATAATCTCATCAGATTCCATCTAATGAGGGGCATCCCATTTCAAACGGCAAGTATCGCCTAACGTAGTTTTTTCATTAATTTTTTTCATATGCTTGATGTCTTTTTTTTTTATCTCTTAGGTTTCAATCCGCGAGGAATTGGGACGTTATTTTCGTTTTGCTGTTTTTCATGCCAAAGCACCAAAACGTCGCATCAGTAATTTTGTTGGTGATCCCTAATAATTTGATTGTGCTAAACAAGATTGTGTACAAACAAAAAGACATTGATCAATTAAATCAAACCAAAAAAAAAACACAGATTTAATTATATTGTTATATAATCAATCCAACAAAAAGAAGAAAACCACAATTCTGATAGATATACATACATAAGACAAAAAAAAATTCTTTTTTTTTTTTTTTGATTATACAAATGAAACAAATAGAAGGATAAACATATCAGATCGCATTTGACTAATTATTATTGCCCGACGGAGATGAATTTTCTTCGTTTGTTTTTTTTTTCTCTTCTACACTAATATAATACAAATATCAGCCAATTACATTAATATACAAAGAATAGATTTTAAAGAGACCAAAAACAAAAAAATTTATAAATTGATATTAGATATCAGAAAAACAATAATTGTAGACATAGTTTTAAAGTCACTATTGAGACGAGAAAAAAAAAACAAAGTTTTATATTGTTTATTAGATTTCAGCATTAGTAATAGAAGTTGATTCAGATGTTGTTGGTGGAGGTGATGATTGAGAATCATCAGCAAGTTCATCATCATCTAATGGTGTATCTTTTTCTTTTGATGGTTTTCCTTTACGTTCTTTTGATCGTTTATTTTGAAACCAAACCTTGATTTATATCAAATGTTAAAATTTTCTTAATGAATATAATGAATATAAAATACATACTTGTATAACACGTAGAGTAAGACCTGTTTCAGCAACTAATTGTTCACGTTGAGTTTTATTTGGTTTCGAACATGATTCAAATGCTTTACATAAAACCTAAATTGGAAAAGAAAATAGAATGGAGAAATATCCTAAATGAACTAGATTTACTTCTAATTGTTGTGGTTTAATTGTTGTACGAGCACCTTTTTTTTCAGGTGCTGTTAAAGAAGATATAGATGGAAGAGTATTTAATGATCGATCACCATCATCAATTGAACCATCTGATTCATTACCTGATTTACCATTTGTTGTTTGTAATTGTTGTTGTTCATCAAAATCTTCACTTTCTGTACCACTTATTCGTCGTTTATTTGGTGTAAAATTTGATTCAGGTGTTGTAGGTATTTGTGAAGTTATATCTGTTGATGACATTGTTGTTATTGATTCATTTTCTGTTGATATAGGAAGTTCTGTAGGTGTAGGTTGTTCTATTGGTTTTTTCTTATTTGATCGAGGAGTTGTTGGTTTTTTCTTTTCGCCATTAGTAGTACTTTTCTTTCGTGATTTAGATGGTCGTGTTTCAGGTACAACAATAGATGATGATTTATCATCATTTGTTGATGTACTGAAAATAGAAAATTATATTTTTTATTGATATATATATAAAACTTGTCAATACAGTTTATATGTTAGAGTCTGTCGAATTTGATCTGATCCACATGCCGAAACACAACAAGGTGTTCTAGTTATGAACATACTCTTTTATGTAATACTAACAACGATACAGTTAAGAAAGAGAACTGCATGTTGACATGTAAATAAGATAAAAAATAATATATAGAGAATTTAGGTTTATCTCAATTTTCATTTTTTTTTTGACGAATACTGACTTTTTTTCGAGGGAAGAGTATTAACTTAACATTATTCTTTTTAACCATTGATATCAATAGCAGATCTCAAGATACTATTACATACATCTCGATAAGGTCAGAAAGACTAATATTCATTTATAACTTGATCAGTTCATAAGTTTTACATTGATCATATAACGATTGTAGCAAATCAATACATCATTCTTGACATTTAGAATTATATTTTTCTCGACTAAAAAAATTAAAAATTGCACTCTTTCGTACATCTAAAAGTGTATTCCAGCCATGACAATTTCTAGAACAGTCTATGACCTTTTCCTAATACCATTCATCGCCTTTCTCTGTTGATAAGGAGCCGTAAACTTATACGTTCTATTTTCTTCGAAAATATATGTGAATTTTAGAAAAATAAACTAACATACTTGTTTATCGATGGTACATTTGAAGGTGTTGGTGGCATAAATTGAAATGGTTGACCAGGAGATGGAGCAGCAAATGCTGGATGAAATCCATATGGTGTTGGATATCCACTAGCATAAGCAGCTGCAGCAAAAGCTGGATTAAAAGCACCTTGAAAAGCATTATAAGCAGCAAAATGTGGTGCCATCGAATACATCGCGGCTAATTGAGCTTGTTGCGAATTCGTTGTTGATGTTTTACCGTTTGATGATGTTGGTGGAAGTGGTGGTGGTGACATAAACGAAGCATTAATAAGACCCATTTGAGCAAGAAGATTATGTGAATGATTATTTGCAGTACCATTTTGAATTTTCATTTCACTATTATCATTTGTATTAATATTATCTGTTATATCAGATTTTCTTTTTTTCTTTTTTTTATTTGATTGTGATGATGATGGTGGTGGTGGTGGTGGTGTTGATGATATATTATCTTCATCAATACCATTTTCACCATCTGTTCCATTTGTTTTAGTTTTTTTACGTGAAACGGTTTTCTTTACTTTCTTTTTCGGTGATGATGATGATGCTGATGAATCATCAAGTAAATTTTGTGATATAATTTCATTATTATCTATTGTATCAGATTTTTTCTTAGATGTATTTGAATTTGTTTGAGTCATATCAAGTGGTAGATTTGTTGATGGTACACCAAATGGTGGACGATAGAATGTAGCCATACCTGCTGCTGCTTGTGGTGAAAATGGTACACCAGGACCAGGTGTAACAAATGGAAATGGAAATGGATTTGTTGTTGAACTATTACTTGAACGTATATCACCAAGATTTGATGGTGGTAATGTACCAAATTCAAGTAATGAAGAAAGAGCTGATGGTTTGTGAGTAGTCGTTGTTGTTGGACGTAAATTTTTCGGTGGTGTTATAGGACGTGCTGGTGTACCTGGCTCAACATTTGTTGATATATCCATTTGTAATGGACTTGATGAACGATCAAGTGAATCGGAATCGGAAGTATTAGCTGAATTTGATGAACGATTTGAATCAGTTACAGAAGAAGATTGAATTTGTGTATTAGTTAAGGATGTTGGTAGTGGTGGTGGCATTGGAAGTCTTGATTGTAAAGGAAAACCAGGTGGTAGAAATTGTGGAGGTGTTGGAAATGCTGGATTGAAATTTGGAGGCATAAAACTAGGTGTTAAATCAGGTTTCATTATTGAAGATATTGACATTGGATTTGCTGCAAGACCACTAAGTAATGATAATGGTTCAGACATTTTAGCTTGTGATATAAGTGATGGATTTGTTGTTGTTGTTGGCGGTGGAGGCAATGGTGGTAGTGGTTGTGGAACGGCTGTTGGTTTAGGTTCTGGTTCAGGTTTTTTATCATCGCCATTGTTTGATGGTTTAGTTTTAACAACAGGTGAACGAGCATTTTCTTGTTCATCATCATGCATATTATTCTATAAAAAGTAAAATATATGATAGAAATTCTTTTTTTCCTCACTTCCGGACAAAGATGTCTGTTCTATAAATTAGCTACTATTCTTTATGATACGAAATTAATATTTACATCCAACCTTACTGTAATATCGTAGTTAACTCTAATCAATATTCTATTAACAATCGCTTTTGGAAACCTTTTTTTTTCCACAGTAAGTACTAATATCAAATAGATAATTCTGATCGGATCATTTGAAAGTTTTTGACAAAAAGTTCCTATGAGACTCAGTTAATACTAGAAAAAAAATCTTGTGGAATACCGAAGAAAGAAACAAAAAGTTTGTGAGTGTATGCTTTCGTTAAGATCTACACCCAAAAATCGATCTTCGATCAGATAGAATAAACTTGCATAAAAATGTCATATTATATTAGAGCTGTGGTGAAAAAGCTTTGCGAAACTTTTGAGCTCAATATCCCACAAACAAGAGTCAAAACCAGGTGATTTTGGCAGCCTGAAATTCTCTGTAGGCTCTCGTTCTATAGATTTAATTTTTCTTGTAGAAAATAGATGCTATATTCAATACCTCAAAAAAAAGACGATCATCTATTTATAAAAGTGCTTTGTTCAAAACACGAACTCTGTAGTTTCACGTACTCATTCAAGTAACATTAGGAAGTAATTGACTACAATGTAGCTTCTTCGGTAGTTTTATGATGTGCGATAAAAAAAAACCAAGGTGTCAAATAAAAGATCATGTCATTCATGAAATAACAAGCCTCAGGCTATCCTTCAATCGGTCTTAATAGTGAATCATAGAAAGTGTATAATAACATCATATTAAATATTGACTATGTCAAATAATTTTATTCCAAGATGCAATCAATACCGATTGTCAAGCATCTAGACTAATTCGATCTCTACTAGTAAAATTTCATGGATGAAGGAACTGTCTTTTTTTTGTTATCTAGAACTGTAAGACAATACCTCTTCAGCAAAATCAACATCATCGTGATCATCATCTTCTTCGTCTTCGGTTTCATCTTCATCACTTCCACTTGAAAAACTTCGTTTACGATAACGTGTCGTTTTTGTAGTACGACGATTACTTGATCGTCGTTGAACAGTTGATGATGCCGAAGCAGTAGTTGTAGATGTTCCAGCTGATGATTTTGATCTTGTTGCTGGTGAACGACCTTTTCTTTCATTTACATTAGTCTGTTTTTGACGAGACACTGGTGTTGTTGTTGTTTTAGCTTTAGCTGGTGAACGTTTACTACCATTACTACTTGTACTTTGACGAATTTTTGATTGTCGACTATTTGCTTTTGATGGAATAGGAATTGATGGACTTGGTAATGGTGATTGTTCTTTTACAGGTGATATCAATGGTTTAGTTGTTGAAGAAGGTTCATCAACTTCCATTGTTTGTTGTTCATTAACATGATTTTCAATAGTTGATTGATTATCTGTTGAAATATCATTATTTATTGTCGATGATTTTTGTTCTTGTGTATCAAGTGAAGGTGATATTTTTCCATTGATTGTATTTGAATGTTCATTATTATTTATTTTATCTACAAAAATTTTAGCAATTAATTAAAGATACAAGAAAAAAAAATATTTATATATAGAAACTAACTTTCATCTATATTTGATAATGAAATTTTTTCATTCGATGATTTATCTGGATTAGAACATATTTGACATAAACAATCAAGATCATTTAATGATCCATCACCAGATTTAAGTAATGATGATATATCATCATCTTGTAATGTACGTTTACATTTTGTACAAGCAAAACATTCAACATGATATATTCGACCAGCACGTATACGACGAATTAATTCATCAGATTTAACAAGATTTTGACATGCAAAACAACGATGAATATATTTTCTAAATTAAAATTTGTTTTGTTTTATAGAAAAAAAAAAATTTTTTTTGTTTTTCTTTTACTTAATAAAATCATCTTTACAATAAAGTTTTCCTTCACGTGAATAACATTGTTCATTAAGTAAACATCGACATACAAAACATCGAACACATTCCGGATGCCATAAATGATCAAGAACATTAGATATATATTGATTGTACATTGGTTGAGAACAACCAAAACATGGACTCGTTGTCGCTGGCATACTTCAAAAAAAAACAAAAGGAATCATAACATGGTTTAAATCGAATTCCTTTTTTTCTCATATACACAATCAAAATCACTCATGCGTTGAGCCTATGAACATCATACATATGAGAATATTAGAAATGATCAACTAGAATAAAATACTAATAACAACTATTCTGCTCAGCACCGGCATTTTATGAAGGTTGGGAATTGGAGCCTGTTGTGTTGATCTCGGACAGACTCTAATCAGAGGAGATCAGGTCCTTCCGGAAAAGAAAATCTGGATGAAAGATGCTTTTTACACGAGGTGAATCATTTTTTATATAAAATTGAAAAGCACGTATAATATTTAATTGAAAGATTTAATGCAGTATTATTCTCGTTAGCTAAGATTTGGGACGGTCTTAGTGTTAATCTGTGCAATTGATACTGCTTTTCATTGCAGTATTTCGTTTGTCACTCAGTAAACCTTAAGATGTGTCTATAGCGTATGACTGCCTCATCCGAGATAATCGAGAGTTATCTAAATAATATCAGATAGAATTACTCTATTCAATGATTCGAAATTTAAAGGATCAAGAACTCATATAGTTATATTTTCAAAAAGTATAGTCTTTCTGAAAAGTTCATCAACGACTAGTACTTATTAAAGTTCAATAGTAAATAATAAAATCTAAAGATTCAAATGGTAACTACATAGCATAGCTAATCAGTTAAATGTTTTTCGTACAAAATTTTGTAGAAAGACTAAATCGTTTTCAGAAAACATTTAAAACTTTTAGATAGACATTTCGATTGTTCGTGTTCAAATTTTAGCTTTAGGGCTTTTTCGGCATATTAAATTTTTTGTTTCTTTTCCCTATAATCATCAATTAATGACTAATACTTTTTTTTAAAGCTCAGCAGCAATTACCCATCAGACAGCTTTTCTAACCAGGAAACAATCCCAATTACATAATCACATTTAGCTTGCGGCTATTTCCATTTGATCGGTTATGATGAATAGTGAAAAATATTTGTTTTTGTTTACTTTTTCGGTCTTCGCTTGTCTAATTATGGGCGTTTTACTAAATTTACGCCCAATGAGCATAACAAAAACTTCAGCTGGAAAAACGTTTTCTTACTCGGATATTTACATATTAAAGAAACGCTTAGTTTAAAATAGTATTTCAAAAGATGGATAATTTCATAACAAACAGATATCTCAATATAGATACATTTGTCCTTACTCAAAATTCAATTACTCAGGTTCTTATCGATTCTATGCTTATAGAATAAAACCCGAGTAAAACTAAATCGAAAACGACTTTTTTACTATGCATCATAACCGATCGATTGGTAATAGTCTCAAACAAAAAAAAAAGGCGATCGAACAGTTCGAAACAATCCTACATAGATGGTGTTTATTCCCCCGCGCGAAACCAATGTCTTTTCTAAGATCAGATTCGGAACTGTTATACTAGCTTCCTATCGAAAGCATTAGTTTCTCATCAAAATCAATACTAAATTCAAATTTTTATACTAAACCGTATAAAATTTCATATCAACATTATTTTAAATTTTAATGAATATTTATTTCTTATAAAAGAGCAAAGAAAGAAAAAAGAAAACGTCGATTAATTTACCTTCGATTTGTTTGACGTATAGGCCTATTCAAATTATTATTTAAAGCTACAGGTGAAAGTGTCATAGGTGGACGTCGACGTTGTTGTTGCATGATTTAAACTACTGAAAAAAAAAAAAAAATAAGAATAAAAATAAGAATTGAATAAAATAACATTTAAGCATCAATATTTATTTTGTTCTATAAAGAAAAATATTTATTGAAATAAATGCGAAGAATATATTATTAAAAAGAAAAACAATTTAATATATCGCACTCATTCTTTATCATAAAAATATCAAGATATAGAATTTTAACACTTATATTCTATCTACCTGGTTTATCAATTAGAGTTATACAAGATATGATAGGGCTAGTAGATCAACTATATATACTCTGCAATGTATAGGATAAGAAAATTTTTTTTTCTTAGACAGAGAGTACAAAATCTTATTCTATACATGTCTAATATCAATGAAAATGTTTTCATTTGTTATATAAAAAAATGAACAATTCTTTGTTTTATTAGGTTTACCTTTTAACTTGTGTTGTTCGTCAGCGAAGTATCTATTCTCATGAACATCTAGAAAACAACAAAAAAAAAGAGTGACTATATATGATTTCATTGATGCGACCGTTCAGTGCCATTGTGTTAAATTCTGTTGATAAACTTTGATTGATTTAAAATAGACCAATGAAATATTTAGAGGATGAGAAAAAAAATGATAAGTAAATAAAATATAAATCAAAGATAATTTTTGTAAAAATTAGTTTTTTTTCGTTTTCGTATAAAAATAATCATTAAATTATTTCCCATAAGTAAACAAAATAATCACTATAATCAACGATTGAACTATTGTACTATTTGATGAACACTAATATGACTTCAACTGCTGGTTTTCAACCGCAGAATAATAATAATAATAATGTGAGTTTTCACAATAATATAATACTATGAAAATGCATGTGTCGTTCTTACATTATAATACTGCATATAAATTAAACAGGGGCATATCGGGGTCACTAAGATTGACCGAGGGCGGGGGGGGGGGGGGGGGGGTCGATGGTTCTTGTCCGGATCGACAACACCCCATAAACTAATTGACAGGACACATTGAAGAATGCCGCTGAGTTGTAGAAGTACCGTACGAGATATTCACTAAATTTAAGATATGTAACTAGTTTTGAATAACTAAAAGAAACATATTGCAAGAGCATCGCATTTAAATGATTAGTTGGAATATGGATTTTTGTTTTCAACTGTTAGCATTCGATAAAATAGTATTATTCTTTTATGTTCAGATTTCTTTTTAGAGAAAGATTGGTCTATTTTTAGTTTTTTTGGAAAATTTTCAATTCATTATTGAATTACTAAGAATAAAATCTTATTTTATATATCTACAGTTCGGATCATACTTCAATTTTAGAAATATCACTAATGTTTCTAATGAAAGTCTAAACTAAATATGAAGTTTTATCGTTGGTCCATCTAGGGAACCAGCAAGAGGATGGCAATTATAATGAGAAAAAAAAAATGACTTTCAAAGCACCATCAAGGTATTATAACCTCTTTTTTTTCGTTTCTGTAAAAAAAAACAACACTTCGCCAAGGGGTGGGCGATTAACCTTTTACCATCCGCTACTGAATTTTGTATGCAATCGATTAAAACAAAACTACAGAAGAATTCATCGTTGTTCGTTGGACAAAAACAAGATACTTATCGATAGTAAATATAACTAATAAACGAAAAAGTGAAGAATAGAAGTAAAATGTACAAAAAAATTCTCAAAGTCGAACAATGCGCAATCATCCCATCCGTCATCAAATCGCTGAGTATGTATGTCAAGAGTAACAGATGTTCAGTAAATTACACTTCTATTAAGTACACTTGCTGTTATCTAATTTCTTATCATTTGGCTGCAAAATTTCCACTCATTGCAGCTGTTAACAACAGTTTCGAGTTCTAATCACAACGTAATTCAACTTATCATAGATATATGAGTTTTCTTATCGATAATTTTATATTAAGAGATATGATCTTGATAAAAGTCAAAGTTCAATGTCTCGATAAAAAAAAAAAAACAAGTGATTTCTGATAATTGTTATTAATTTATAAAATCTATAAACTTAAAAAAGAATCTAAGTTTCCCTTCCATAAAATAAAATTCCTCCTTCTTCAATTAATTGATTCCTCGAATAATTAGAATTTTAATTAGTATATTTACATCAAAATATGACTATGTAATTATCAGAGGTTTGAGATGAAAGCCTTAAAAGACTTGGATCAACGTTATTTCTGGACATTTACAACTTTAACAATATATTCTCGAACCTTCAGATCGGTTTCGATTTTCCAGAAAACATTTTAATTAAGAATTAAGGAAATACATGAGACATAATAGAAGATACTTCCCTGAAAAGAAATTTGCGGGATCAAAGTTTTTGGTTTCGATCTAGAGAAAACTATTTCAGAATTTATTTATATCATGTCTAAAACAATCCTTCAATACATTTTGTTTTTATTTATTCGTCTACTAGCATTTTGTTTGAATCATCTCTCTTGAATTATGTTCTGATTGAGAAGAATTTGCTTAAAATCATGGAACTTTTAGGTATAATTTTTAGTACCAGTTCCGATAAACTTCCAAATTTTGATCCTGTACAACTCTCTATTGAAAATCTTTCTACTTTCGGACTTTTTATATTCAACGTTTTGCTTCTTTTTTTTTTCTTAGAACAAACAATCAGGTTTCGTTAGTTTTACTAATTTACCGAATCAAATTCATCGTAAAATAGCTAAACGTGGTTTTGATTTTAGATTAATGGTTGTTGGTAAATAAAATATCTTTTTATTATTAATGAAATTTTATTTTTGTTCAATAGGTGAAAGTGGACTTGGTAAAGCAACATTAATTGATAATTTATTTCAAACAGATCTTTATCCACAAAGACATATATATACTGGTCAAGGTAAAGAAAATATTTATCGATTTTTTTTTTTTTGTAATTTTATTTATAAATAGAAAAAATTCATCAATCAATTAAAATTGAACCAATTACTCTTGAAATCGAAGAATGTGATGTTAAAATACGTTTAACAATTATTAATACACCTGGTTATGATGATAATATCGATTGTACTAATAATTATAAATTTCTATTAAATTATATTGATAATCAATTTGAATGTTATTTCAATGATGAAAATGGTTTTAATCGTCGAAATATATCTGATAATCGTGTTCATTGTCTTTTCTATTTTATTTCATCATTAACACGAGGGTTTATTTTTGCAAGAAACTTCATATAGAATTTTTTTCTTTCGATATTTATTTGTTTTTAGTCTCAAACCATTAGATATTAAATGTATGAAAGCATTACATCATAAAGTAAATATTATTCCAATAATTGCAAAAGCTGATGCATTAACATCGGATGAACTTATTCAAATGAAACAAATTGTATGTACAAGAAAAGAAAAAAAGAAAATTTACAAAGAAAAAAATCCATTGAGAAGCATCAAATCTTATGTGTGGTTTTGTTGAATAACCTGTAGCACATTAAAACATAAATAGGAAATTCAGTTGCCCTCGAACTGTGATATGTTGAGAGTCTATATGTACTGGTTACGATGCTCAAGGCATATAATATGATATTCATAGACATAAAATGTTATAAGATAAACCTACGGACTTTTTTTTAATCATCAGTGCAATGCAATTTTTGGTATTCAATAGTTTTCATTGGAGCTTTCTTCATATCGAAAAACGACCACTTTTTCATAGGTTTAGATCATATGTTATTCCTATGTGCTGAGCTCTATGTCATAGAATAAGTGATTACAAACTGTACACTATCCAGTTCTATATGTTTCATAATTAACCTTGTCCGAAACAGCAGCGATTCATTGTGAGACTGCAAAAATATTTCCTAAAACAAACTTAGTTTCGTATATGGAAGAGTCGGCGTATTTATGAATAACTTTTTTACAATCTTTAAATCCCTTGAAAAGGGTAAAAGAATACAAAAAAAAATTTATTTTTCAAAATTAACATAAGTTATTTATAGATTCTTCTTAGGGTTCCGTACAGAAATCAAACCTATACACTCAGAATCCAAATTTTGGAAATAAAATAATAATAAAAAAGCTAAATTCAAAAAATATCTCCTACCTTTGAAGCGATTTCTGATTAGAAAATTTCATTCTGAGTAGCAAAGTGCAGTTCCATTAGGCCCAAAAATTTTCGACCCAATGGACTCTAATATCGACTATTCTATATATGAAAATAGGTTGTTTTAGAGAGTATAAATGAATATTGTATCCTTCAAACATCATAATCATTATATGTGAATTCATACGAGGAAAACTTAATTTCTTGTCTATTATTTGATATGTCATGAGATACAAGATGAATCATCAATATTCGATAGAATCCTTTCAATAAATTTCTATTTAGATTATTGAACAAATTCATAATAATAATATTGAAATATATCAAATACCTGATTGTGATTCTGATGAAGATGAAGAATTAAAAGAAAAAAATCTTCAATTAAAAAATTCTTTACCATTTGCAATAATATCATCAAAAAAAATTTATGAAGTGAAAGGAAAAAAAATTCATGGAAGAATGTATCCATGGGGTTTAATTGATATTGAAAATTCGAATTATTCTGATTTTCTTAAACTTCGAACAATGTTAATGTAAAATTAAATTCAATATAAAATAATAATTAAATTTATCTTATTTTCTAGAATACATATGCAAGATTTTACAACAAATAACACATGAAATTCATTATGAAAATTATCGATTAAAAAAACTTCAATTAAAAAAATATCTTCATAATAATGAACAACATAAGAAATCGATTCAAGAAAAAGATGATGAAGTAAAGTATTTTAAATGATATATATATATTTGGTCTTTTATTAATTTATTTTAGTTTTGTCGAATGCAAGATATATTTTCCAAAATGACAGATGAATTAATTGAAAAATAATAATTAGTAATATTTGTACATTATGGTTTTTTTCGTCAGATATTATTGAAAAATAAAACTTTCTATACTTGATCTCGTCATCCAATGATATAAATATTAAAGTTAAACAAAGAATGAATGATGAGTCATCATCATACGCAAATGTCTACTGTGCAATTTTTGCTTTCATTCTGCCTTTATAAGCGTATGTTGTGCCCGTTGAAAAAGTAACTCTGATTCCGGAACAATCACAAGAAAATCTTTCGCCTTTTACTAAAGATTTCTGTGTTTCGGAATAATTCAATGAGTCTTTAAGACCAATTTTTTTCTGCTCGCTTCGTGCGGGCTTTCAAAAATTATAAAATGATAATTTTCAATAAGCTTAGTCTGTATAAGTTTATAAGCAGATATCGTATCATATAGATAACTAATGTATGAACAATACGTAACCAAGAGAATCAGGATCGCTGTTTTAAGTAGTGAATCACATGCTTGCACCTAACGATAAATAGAGAAATTATTTTTCTCATCTTCGCGTTCCTATAATAATATTTCTCGAGAGGAAGGATGATCTCAAATCTAGAAAATTTTTCGTGCTATATGCTTACCGATCCCCGTAATAAGGATCAATTTCCTATCTTCTTAACTTGGGGAATCTCACGTACAGACAGTTGTCTAATTTTTCTATGGGTTTTGATTTTGTACATTTAATTTCTTACTTTTGAAATAGAGAAAAATAATGACAAGTTCCATACCTCGAAATATGATCATTTATTCATAGAAGTGTTTTCTTTTTTATAATAAGATAAAAAACGTCATTCAACAAACGGATTCAGCAGCTTCACACGCTCTTTCAAACAAAAGAAAAGATAATTGGTTATAATGAAGCTCCTTTGAAACTTCGGATAAAAAACGAGTTATATTTACCATTAAAGCACGCACTGCCGACATAGATAGTGCATACCTTTAACAGATAGTAATGATAAAAGGAATGAAGTGCATGCATTCAAGACACAAATGCTTACTTTCGAATATTTGATGTTCTCAAAATATACTGGAAATGATTGCGAAGAACCTGAAATAATCGATGGTCAATTTTTCTTGTTAATGATAGACAAAAAACTCTTCTGATATTATTATTTTGTTCATTGATAGATATGAAATTTTCGATTGTCCTTGTTGAAATGTTATTTTTAATAATACATTAAAATATAAATTTGAAATCATTGAAAAAGATTTGACATTTCAGCAGAATATTCATCAATGAACATAATAATAATATTCGAACAGTTGTCTCTATATCATCAACAAGAAATATTGACCATCGAATAGTTCAAGTTTTACGAGATATTAAAATACAGAAAAATCCATTCGATAGCAATAAAATTTAAGAATAACACGCACACACACTTGATAATGAAGAAATTGTTTCTTCTGAAATGAATTTTTATTATTTTACTACCATACTTGAATTTTTATTAGAGGACATTATAAACTATTTTATAGTATATTATTACTAACAGATCATAGAACTAGATTTATGAAAAAATTGAAAATATATTTTCAAAAACAACTATGACTTCAACTTTTCAAATTGATCTATTTGATATAAATAAAAATGCAATATGTTCTAATGTCTCTAAAGTATTGTAATCACCAAGTCCAAAAGTGCTGTTATCAATATTTGTGTCTAATGAAAGTTATTCAATGTTATCATTTTCTTCTATATTGATATCAGCATCTTCATCTTTTTTTTTATCGACTTCTTCTCCGTAATTCTTTGCATTCTTAATATAATGTCTAAGTTTCTTTGATAACGAATCATCATGAACAAGCTATTTCAGCATCTATGAGTAAATATTTTACTTATTCTGAACGTCATTACTAGTGTACATTCAATTTGTTAATCAATCTTCATTCGAATAAGAATAATTTATTGAGTCATTATCGGTAAACAATAGCAGTATGTATAAGTAAATATTCAAATAAGAATAGAACTTTCTCTTCAAACCATAAAAACAACATTGTTCAGTCATTTTTTTTAAACTTTTGAATAGAAGATCGTAGAAAATGCAGCAAATCCTAAGATTGTGCTCTTTAAAATGGCATTGTTATAAAATAACTTTGATAAATTTTTTGGAACCTTAAAAACTACTTTTTCTGGCGTTTTAGAAACTTTGTCATCATGCATACTTTATCTATGAAATTTTCATATAGAATGTATTAGATATAAAAACTTCATTGGCTATTAAAATTACTATCTGAACCTGAGCTAGGTATTTAACATTATAAAAAGAAAGAAATCAAAAATGCATTGTTGTTAAACTTTTTCACACCACTTAACGTCATATGGGTAAAAAAAAATCGAGATCAGACAAGTGTCACATATGCATAAAATCATTCATTACTTCTCTTTGTCAATAAGTGTCGCTTTTTAAAATAGACTCAATTTTAGTGGGTCATGGTCTCTATATGACTATAGTCAGAATGCATAATAAATTTATTTTATTACATACAAAGAAACAGCAAAACTGAAAGAAAAAAAAAAACTCAATCTGAATTTGACACCGAACAACAATAATGTTATTCAATCTCTTTTTTTGCTTTCTTCCGAAAAAAAGAAAACTGTTTTATGTCAATCAGATTAACATTTTTATATAGTTCTTACCTTTCAATTAATTTTATATCACGTTTTAACATGAAATTATTCATATGTATATGACAATTATATATATTTCTGTCGGTTGAAAAAGAAAAACAAAGAAACATTTTGAATAGAAATAAGGCACACTACATAGATCCATTCAAAAAACAAAACAAAAAAAGAAAGAAAAGATTTCTATACATAAAACAAATGTCACTGTGTTGTTTTCTTTTGTCAAAACACAAAAAAAAAATATGAAGATTATAGGAAAGCAAACAAAAATGAAATTTTATTGCGATGATTAAAAAATATTAAATATCATCTCTAAACGGCCAAAACAGAAAAAAAAGAAGTTAACCGATGGTCTTTTCTTTCTTTGTTTGTCTTACCGAATATATTCAACATAATTAGCTGGAATCATGCCTTTATCTCCGAGGCTATTTCTTGCTAACCACCATAATGGTTCAATTTTTTTAATAATCATTAATATTTGTCCTTTTTTAAAAGGTAAATCTTCTTCATCCTATTTAATATTAAATAGAATTTAAAAAAAAAATCATGAGAATTATAATAATTTATTTACTTTGCCATCAAATTTATATTTTGTTCGTACACGAGGTTTAGGATACTAAAGAAAAATTATTAATAACGATAACAAAACAACAAAAAGATATAATAAATTCTTTAACATACAATTCTAACAAGTGGTGATGTATCAAGTAATCGTTGTTTATAAAAATTTAAAAGATCTTTCATATTTGAGAATGTTTTATCACCTATTTTATATATTGAATTTGAATTTTCTTGAGTTAGATTTATTATATAATGACTAACTTTTGAACCTTCTCTATAAATTAAAAAAAGAAAATTAACATGAGAAAATTGAATTTATAACGAAAAGTACTCTTTATTTAACATACTTTACACAAAGAACAAGATCGCCTTTTATTGTACTACTGGGACGTACAAGAAATGTACCATCAGATTGATTTTGTAATGTACTTATTGCTTCTTCACGACTCAATTCGTCAAATAACCAACTAATATAAAAGATATAGAAAAAAATTATTTTATTTAAAATTATGTACCTGTCCTCATCGCTAGCATTAAAATCAGCGATTGGTGGAGTTGTAGTTGATAGTTTTTGTCCTATAACATTATTCATCCCATGTAACCGATCTAAAATACATGTTTGTATACATATATATATATGACACAATCGTTAACACAACATTCATCCTTGTTCAAATAAACGATAACTAACTACCTGCAATAGTCATGATGCAGAGGTGTTGAGCTCAGTTATTGTTTGATAAATGCTATCGAAAAGCAACAATGATTAAAAATAAAAAGAGAACATCGGTAGTCAGGATGAAGATGACGTGATCTTACAGGTCATCTACTTTTTTTTTCTTCGACTCAAGTAATCGCTGTGTATCCTCTTACTTTCTTCTTCTCCTATGCTCGCTGTAAGTAAATATCGTCGAACAAAGCGAAAGGAATATATAAAAAAAAAAAAAAAGAAGAGAATGACGATTCAGTTCTTATCGTGAGATGGCATGTGTATGTGCATTTATTTTCATATCGAAGCGCCACTATTTGTTATAATGAAATTGAAAAATTGTGTCATAGACAATACAGGCATACACAACTGCTTCTATTGTTCAACAAAATCGATCATCTAGCATTGATGTACAGGCGGTCAAGTTTCCTTTCTCCTTTTTTTTCTTCGTTTCTTTTGTTCTCATCGAATCAATCTTTTTTTTTTTGACCACACAGAATAAAAGGAAAAGAAAAGGAGAGTTATATGTATATATATATATGTATGTGGACGGGTAATCATCATGACGTTTTTGTTGTTTGTTAGTAGCTTAGTGGGTGGATGACTTGCTTCACTGCTCAACAGACTCTAAATACGTACAGACACGCACATATATCTAGAAAGAAAGATTATGATGTAATAAGAAATCGTATGCGTATATGACCAGATGTTGCCTATGTATATATATATGTATGCATGTATAGTAGACTAGAACAGCAGGAGGTACTTATTTCTTACTGTATCTTTTTTTTCTTTTTAGCTTTTTTTGTCTCAATCAGAATCAGAAAAAAATATAGGAATTGATGTTTGTTTATACTGACAACAGAAGATATTATTCGATTAATCAATGTCATCATGTACATAGATGATGATAAGTGACAGAAATCTATTGATTGTTCTCCATAGGAAACACGTAGAGTTCATTGAAATCAAGGATATATAAACGGTTGAGCTAATAAACAAAGGAAATAGGTAATAGAATGTGGACCTTCTATGTTATGTACATCCTTGACGTTGCTAAATAAGCATCATTCGTTAACTCTCTAGGGTATGAAAACAATCGCGTTCATCTATCATCTTCCTTTTTTTATTTCTTCTCTATTTTCTTACATTAATCAATCTCTTATAATAGGCAGGAACAAATTTTTTTTTGATCCCTCTCGGTAAATAGCTCTTAACAAACGAAATAGTTCATTACTATTCTAAATATATATTCAAGGATGTCATAAGTAGAAATGGCCTTTAAAAGCTATTAAAAATTTCATTTAGTTTCTCGTATTGAAAGAATTCGTTCAAGTCATTATATACTTGATATTAGGAGTAATACAAATATAAAGAAAGACACTCTGTTTAAAATGGACTATATGAAAGTACTAAAAGACAAAGAAAAAAAAAAGAAGAGAAATCAAATTTTCTATACACAAACACACACATATAAGCCTATACAAACACTAGATGTCTAACTTCTTTTTTCCTTTCCTATAAAATTCGACCATAAATATTCCAAAGATAAATTACTAATGAATTATCATTATTATTATTAAAAGCAAAACATGTATAAAGTAATTCATGAAATTGTTGACGTATTGATTCATTGTTTAATATTTGTTGTAATGTAGTATTATCATTTGATGTTATTAATTTTTGAAGAATATTAACTAAAACTAAACCATATGTTGAATTAGAGTTTTTTTTATCAAAATAAACAAATAATTCGGTGAGTATTCGTTCGAAAACTACTAAAAAATATGATTGATAACAACCTAAAATTAATAAAAGAAAAAAAAAAAAACATCGAACAAAATTTTATGTAATAGAAAACAAAACACATAAATAAACATTCTATACATCAACTTCAAAACAATATGACATTCTGTTTTTGACAAAACAAAAGAACATCTTACTATTTCAAAATATAAAGCTTTGACATCGAAATAAAACATATCGTGGGAAATAACACTAACAATCGACAGATTTTATACTTATAATCAATATTATTGGACAATTATGTCACTGTTCATGAGAGTGAACAAAAATTTAATCCATAACTGATATTCGATAGAATCTAAAATCTACGTTCGCTCTTAATTTACGTTCTCACCTTCTTTGTCAAGAAACAAAAATGTTTTGTTTCTTTCAAATATAAAATAAAAAGTCTTTATTAAAAATACTACAACAATATCTATACATTGTCTTTTGATTAAATTCAAGTTTACCGAAAGAAATTTGTGCGTGTCATCAACAAAGTTCTTAATCAATGACAAATGTTTGACATTCTCATTCAAATATATACATAGGAGAAACAAAGGACTTGATTCTTTACATTTGTTTTCTTGAGTAATCATTAGACTAATTTGTTATATTCCATAGATCAACACAAAACACAACCTACAGTCATCTTGATTTTCTATCTTGCTGCTCAGCAAGACAAAATAAGAAGATAGAGTAGAACATGCCAATTTATCATATGATCTTATCTACTCTACAGTGAGTAAAATAAAGCGGCACAATAGAGAATAAATCAGCTATTGATTGAAAGTTCAAGGCTGATCTATTGAGTTAAATTGAATAGAACGTCTTTGGCATTGAAATTAGATTAGAGAAGAAAAGGAGAATGATAGTCATGATTACAAAATTTAATACAAAATAAAATCGACTAGCTCGATTGATATTTTAGTTTCGGAGTAGATGAATATAAGTCAATCATTGATTCATGTATAATTGACAAAAAAGAAATCAATAAGAGAAATCTTGGTTCTCATCTAGTATAGCTCAATCATTTTATTTGTTATTAGCTACTTCCGCAAGTAATCAAAACAAATTTCTTTGATGTATAATTAATTATACAAGAAAAATGATCTAATTTTTATCTGAAAAAGTTAAATAAGATTTTTATTTTCTATATTGCTTTTGAGTGAATCATTATGTATGATATTTGAAAGACGAATGATATAGAATATAAGCTAGCTAACAATTCTATATTTACTTTGTATCATAAAAAATGATAAGAAGAATCATGTCTGTCCTACAGGATAGAAAAGAACAAAAACATTGTTCTATGTTTATCTTTCATATATTCAATAGCGAATGTTCTTAAAAACTCAATAGTTCTAATAGAATAAGATCACTTTTTGAGATTTATCGAAAGTCATATGTTGAGATATAAGTCGATACGTTAATCGGCTAGATATTTTCTTTTCAAAGATATTCTTAGTTCCAAGAAATTTTGAAATACAAAAAATTGTCGTAGAGAACATATCTATTAATTAATCATCAGTAACAAAAATCTATTGTCAATTAGATTGCTAGAATGTTGGCCGTGATGGCTAAGATATCTTAAAAACTTTTTGTCCATTGACAATAGAACTAATCAACTTACAACTCAACACATAATAACTCCATTCATTCTGAAAAGCATAATCCATCACGCAACTATTCAAACAAAAAAAAAAATGAATACCGATTTGTTCAATAAGCATCTGAGCATCCGTAGTTATTGTTGATTGTTTTATGTATATCAATATTAAATCAATAAATTGTCGTATATGTTGAATACAATGTTTTTGAATATTTGGTATAATATCAAAATTGAAAATAGTATTAATTAATTGTTTAAAAAGAGTTTCAAATGTTTGTTGTTGAATTTGAAAAAAATTATCTTTTATTAATTGAAATATTCGATCAATTGTTTCAATAATAATTATTTGTATTTCAATGTTAAATTCAATTGATATGATGAAAATATTTTGAAGAAAATTTCTATAATATTCAAGTAAATCAATATATTTCGTTGGTATTACTATTGATATAGATTTTCTAAAAGAACGAATATCTAATAAAATTTGTTCATATTGTATAGCTTGATTGATTTTATTTTGTCGTAAAATATTTTGTAATTGTTTTGTAAATTCTCTTGGTGTCATATGTGATGGTGTTAAACGAATAATACCTATTGTAAGAGCAAGTTTTTTATAAAAATTTTCATTATATATAAATGTTTGAACATTCATTATGTTCTAAAAAAGAATAAAACATTATTTCAAGAAATTTAAACGAATATTTTCGAATTAGTGATTGCGTTTTTCTTTTTATTGAAACAAAATTTAAAAAAAAAAAGACACCATTGATTATAAACTTGCATACATTTTTGAATAATGTTTAGCAAATGGTGAATCAGGAACCATGATCATGAAACTTGGCATACCAAGTTGAACAACAAATCTAATTTAGAAAGAACGTATATTAAAAACAAACAAAATAATGTGATAATTTATACCCCGGTAGTTGAAGTACTTCAAGTAATGTTTTATTAGATGAAACCATTTTTAATTCATGTTTATCATGATCTTCATAATAGATCTAAAGGAAAAAGGCGGATTGATAACTGTGGAAATTCGCTCCCCGTTTCGACAAGTTTGATTTCTTTTATATTATAGTATCACACAAAGTGTTCTAAAGTAGATCGTGATAAAATTGGTCATACAAAATTGATGCGTTCAGTGCGCAGTCCAATTGCAATAGTCATTAGTTGTCATCACATAAATATTGAATTCGAGTATTGATGCTAATTAGTACTTTTTTATTTATTCAACTTATGAACGATTAGGATATGGTCCGACAGTACTTTCCAAGAGATTCAAAATGATATGAAAAGACTGGCCAATCAAAGAAATACTCTCGAGATATGACTTTGAGTCTTTTCTGAAAAGTATTCAGCAGATTTTGATAATTAAATCTATGATTTAGTTGAAAACTAATAGATCATTCTCAATCAGCATCCAAAACTGATTGAATTTACTTCTATTTCAAATACTTTCATAAGTTTTTCTTTCGTTGAATAATTCATTTGTGATCCTACCCAAAGGGTTGGTCAAAATAGCAAATGAATAAACAATAAAAATGAAATTCTCATGAAATTCATTTTTTCATGCAATCCTGATGGAGATCAGAGATGAATTTATTGACGAAAACAAAAGTTTTTGAAATATACGTAAGTCTACTCAGTTTTAGATGCTGATTTAGAATATCATATTTCTATCAGAGATCACTTGTTGACATTTTAAGTGAGAATTTGACATGAGAAAAATCAAATTTCTTTAGAGATCGATTTCATCACTTATTGATTATGCTCCTTTTTATGAAAATTCTATGGTATAAAACTTACTCCGATTCGATCTAATGTATATTTTCCTTCTTCATCCCAAGGTGCACGAGATTCGAATATAACTGATAAATGATCAATAAGTCTGAAAAAAGAAATATTACATAAAAATTCTTGATTTGAAATAAATTATACCTTGTATTTTCATGAAATTCTTTGATATAATCCGTTTGTGCATATTCCGGATAGAGAAAAACAACAGGAAATGTTAATATTTGATCAGATTCTTTTAATTTCACACAACTACCAGCTGGATTTGTACTGATATTAAATATATCAATACTTGGATCTTCTTGTAAATAAATATTTCGTTGCTAATGAAGAGAAAAATTTATAAAATTAAATTTATGATTAATCAAATTTGTATACTCGAATAGCATTGAGAACTTTTTCTTGTTCACTTTTTTGTTTCTTTTCACGACCTTGTTGTTTTCGTTCATCACGTTCTTTTTCTTTCTAAAAAAAAAAAAAACAGAAGGAATTTCTATAACTTCTTTATGTTTATTTTTGTTTCTGACCTGTAATTTTGCTGCTCGATCACGCATTTCGATAAGTTTAGCATTATTATTAGAAAACATTTAATAGAAAAATAAATTTTTGTTAAGGAAAAAAACAAACGAAAATTTAAATAGATTAAAAGAAAAAAGATAATTATTAAAGAAAAGGATACTGTTAAACCAGCTGAACACCATGTTTGTGCATCTTTATATTTTTCAAGTTTCATACATGATTCAGCACCTTTAATAAAAGCTTTGAGATGATCAGGTTTACATTTTCGTGAAAATACACAATCACGTAATGCCGAACGATAATTACCTAATAAAAATTTTTTTCTATGAAAAAATATGAAAAAGAAATATCTTTTTATATTTACCCAAATAAAAATTAGCTGTTGCTCGATTACAAAACAAAACAGCATTAATTGTAGGATCCGTAGAACGTTGTTTTATACCTTCAGTATAAGCGATTATTGCATTACGATATTTTTTAAATCCATAATATTTATTGCCTTCTTCTTTAAATTTGTTTGCTTTATCTAAATTTTTAATTATAATAATAAAATTTCATAAAAAAGTTCATATGATTTAAATCAGACAAAAGTCATTGATGGGGCGTTCGATATAATGTGTCCTACATATCAGTTGATTTGATAGGCAACATGGGAGATAAAAGATTAATTTCTATAAAATCAACAAATTCTAACTGAAACCAAACTTTCTATTAGAACTATCTTAATAATTTTATATCTATGTAATAAAATTTACTTAATGCTCATGCTAGATTAAAACTTACACAATTTATATATAATTATGTTTAACTAATATGTCTATACGAACGGATGTCAAAGATGATATTTTGTTCGTTATTCTTGATAATATTTATACTTCATTAACTGTTACTGTAATGGTGTACAAAAAGATTCTTATTTTGCTAGGAAGCAAAACAAAAGCTCTCAACGATTATTGATTTTTATAAAAATCATAGAGCTAAGTGAAGAGAAGGAAGCCGAACACTTCCACTATCGGACACACCGTCACTGCGCAAATTTTTTAAGAAAATATTAAAAAGATAGTAGCATTGCACAGAACAACATAATTAGTAATAGAAAAAGAACTGACGGAGAAAGTAAAACGCTCGATATACATTTGGATGTAAGTGAATAGGTATTTTCTACACGTCCTACTACCTGCAGATTGTGTATCGAGAAAGCAATTGATCATTTCAAACGATAACCCAATCATTGAATTTATTGTTTGTATTAATATTATTATGCAACCATTCGTTCAACAATTAGGATAAAATCTATCCTAGAGTGGAAGTGTCCGAGTGAGTATTTATCGTATATTCGTAGGAAACAATTTAAATTTCCTGCTGTTATTGATCAAAGCGGCGACTCGATGAAGAAATAAAATAATTTTCTTGCATGACGGAAATACTTAATTCTTACGTTCAGTTTTGTCTTTTGATGTCATTAGTAGAATGCAAATATTTTATTATCAAACATAGACATATTTATGATTGTGCCAAATTTCCGCTTTTTTTAAAAATTTTATCAGTCATTGTATTTTCTCATTTCTTTCAGATTAGTCACAAACTATTCTCTATATGAAGTAGAGTCGGTTAAGTGTTACATTGAAACCTCCCGTAAGATCAGTTTGCAGATAATCCTAAATATGTCTATGCATGATGATACAATATTCGTACTCAAATTATAACTTCTAAGAAATTTACGCAAAAAGCAAAAAACTTTAGCATTGCTTTATGTAGTAATTAAAAACATCCATTGAAACATTTGTGAAAAGAACGTCTCCGAAAACAGACATTTGACAAGACATGCACTGAAGAGACAGGGACAACTTTTTAGCTGTCCTAATGATTTCCGAATTTACTATTAACCAATTTTAGAGTCTTCTAGTTAGAGTAGGTAAAAACCTTATTCTAAATATATCTACTTCAAATCAGTAGAACTGTATATGTTACATTGGGGTGATGCCACGATATAAGCGACACGTTTTTATATCGAGTTTCGCGTTTCAAATCGTAGAGAATATAGTCGATTCACAAATTTATAGCAAAATATAGTTAGTGCTATATACGAACACTTCAAAAAAGGCTAGAATATTCATCATCATATATCTCTAACGTAGAACTTGGGCACATAACGATATAGCAGGTTTGGGTGTTATTTTCGTAATGTCATTATATGCGGAAGTTTTGCGTTAGAAATTCGTGAATCGACTATGCTCCACACGACTTGAACCGTGAAAATCGATTTAGAGATATTAATATATAAAGTACCATATGTACCATAAAATGATTTTTTTTTATTTCTAGTTTTAAGACGAAACTAACGTTTTTATCTGATGTAATCAAAAAAGAAACTGTATAATTTTACTACCTAAAGGTGTATCGTCATCATCATCCCATTTCAATGCTTGCAAAGCTTCCGTAGCAGGATGAAGTTCAGCACCATCATCAGGCATTTCTTTAAGAAAGAATGGATGCCGTTCTAGATCCTAATATACATATATTTAAATTGAATAATCCATAGTAATCAATGATTTATCATTTCATCTTACTTTCCAAAAAGCATCATCAAGTTCACCCGCTGGAAGATGATCTTTGTCTTCGACAAGTTTATCGATGAATTCATCGAGTTGTCGATCAAGTTCTTCAGGTGTAGGTGTTGCCATCTGGAAAAATCCTTTTTTTAGTTTTATTTTATTTTATTCATTTATAGTTGTTTGTTTTTTTTTGCGAACAAATCAATCTTTGAATTTTATTTGTTCTTTTCATTTGTGCGAACATGACAAGAATACGATACACACAAAAGAAGAAAGCCAAGACTAAGCATAAAGAACGAGAGAGAGAAGAGAAAACCAGAACAATAACAGAAAGACAAAACACGCTTATTCTTCTTTCTTGGAATGGTTTCAACCCATATTTTACCTATATGATCTTCTTTCGATTGTTCGAAGAAAAACAACAACAACAAAACATGACGAAAGAATTCAGCGTAGATCAAATAACGTTTGTTTTTTTTCAGAAGTTATCTTTTCCAATAGTAAAAGAAAAAAAAGAACACACACGCTGTTTTTGTACAAATAATAAAGAATGTTTCTTTTTAAATTTTTTCTCAAGTGCGAACCATTTTTGTTCGATTGCCATCATCATATAATGGTAATAATTCAATATATCGTGTTCCCATATATTTTTTATGATACCTAAAAAAAAACATAACAAAACTCAACTAAGATTATCATTTATTTATTATAGATAAAACTTACGTCAATGCTTCAGTTGCTTCTTCACGTGAACCAAATTCAGCATACCATATTGGTGGTTTACCACGTGGAGTATTTTCTTGTTCAAGTCGAATAGGTACAACAGGACTGAAGAACTAAAATATTAATCATCAAATAATAATTTAAATTTCTCAAGAAAACAAACAAAATTCTCTCGATAACAAAAATAAACTGATTTCTCTTATCCCACGTAACTCAAGCCATCGGTAATTCGATACATAAATGGATGTATCTGCTCTTTTAATTATCCGATGTATCATAACATGTAGAACAGTTCGATTTGAAACTCAAAAAAAAACTTAATCACATCTCTCAGATGAATATGGCTTTAGTTCTTAAATTTTCACCATCAATGATATTTTTCAACGTATTCTAAGCTAGCTATAGCGAGCAATCAGATTTTTGCTTATTCAGTTGTTTTTTTTTTGTTACCATTACAATATAGTGCGAAATGCAAAAAAATAATTTATCACCGAATAAGTTTTATATCACATGTCTTACTTCAAAAACTTCCTTTTCACCAGCTTCAAATGGTACACCACGTATTTTCATAGTAAATGATACAGACACTGGGCCTATAAAATATCTTCTATTAAAATATATATAAGCTTTTTGGCGCGATTCTTACGTTTTATTCCACCGCCGCTACCACCACCCATTTGATTATTCATCGGGTAATTATTACCACCATTTCCACCATAATTGTAATCACTCGATGGTGGACCATCAAATTGGTTCATGTTGCTATTATATCCACTATTATTACCACTGCCACCACCGCCACTGCTACCGCCACCACTACTACTACTTCCACTCATATTACCACCGAAACTTCCTTGTCGTTGATATCCATAGTTTTGATTAGGTCCACTACCACGTTGTCGTGCCATTGATTGTGTATCATTCATGATTGAGGCACGAGCTTCAGCATATGTCGATTTGAATACTTCGATATAGCTGTTTTAATGATAATCATATAATTAAAACATTAGAAGATTTTTTTTGAAAAGAAAAAAATTAAATCAAATTTAGAAATAAAACAGGACATAAGAGGGAATATGGATATAATGAAACAAAACAAAAGATAAAAAATATCGTTTTTTTTTTCATTAAATTAATCGAATAGGAAATTAAAAAGCAAAATAATTAAAATTATATGCAAAAAAAAAAGAATTTCTCTTTTTATAAAATTCTATTCGATCAATTTAAACAACAAAAAAGAAATCCGAAATCAATTTTGTTTTAAAATTCTATTCTAGGAAAAGAAGGTATTCTTCTGTCTCAGTTTACCGTACCGATGCCCCATATTCATGCGGTTGAATTCCAAAGCTCGTAGGGCATTGTCCATGTTCATAAAAGCGACGAAAGCCTCGCCTGCCGGTTTGCTGGAGGAGATGTGTACACCATTCTGAGCTATGTCGAGTCCTACAAGGTGAGGTAATCCCAAAAAATAGACAAAAACAACACAAAACAATATAGATTTTCTTTTTTTTTAATAATGCAGAGAGGAATTTTCCAACTTGAAAAATCTCTTTATTCTCTTTACCCTTGACCAAATTTATCTGTACATACCTTCAAAAAAACGTGTGACATCTTCTTTGCTTGAATTATATGGTAAACCACGCAAACGAACAACTGGTTCACGCCAATTATCATTAGTTATATTTGAAGAATTATTGTCACTATTTTGATGAGTATTTGCAGTAGTATTATTTTTTGTCATTTGAGCCATTTCATCGGCATTAGATTCAAATACTTCAATATAACCTTAAAATATAAAAATTCAATATTGTTTATGTTCCTTGATATGCATAATTACTTAAAGACAACCAAGATTGACAAAATAAAAGACGAAGTTTAGAAGAACTTCTAACTACTTATTATTATCTTAACAAATAATGAAACAAAAATGTTATGTCAATGAAATCAATAGTGATCTTTTTAAGGTGTAATCATTGCATAAAACATTGTAGAATAAATTTAAAAATTTGTTTCTATACTTTCATTCAGTAGAATTTCACAAAAAAATGTAGATCTACTGTGGAAGAATTAAAAAAATTTCAACTAACAGCAGATCGTTCTTCATATTTGCATCCGAGATATAGGTTCTTCTGTGTTTTATCCAATATATAGATAGAATACTGAACCAAAAGATATATACTTCTCTTAAGGGTGATAACCAGATGTTTGACAATGCAAAGGAGAAGTAGTAGTGCATCCAGTCATGGGTCATTGCGTACGACGAAAAAAATTATCTCACTCGTATTTTTTAATATAATGACTACTGCCTGCAACTTACTCGAACATGACAGGGCAATATACCAAATGATTGATATCTTTCATTATTTATTTATAACAGAGATAAAAATCTATTTCGATTTTACAATTAATTTTTGTCTATCTTTATAACATTTTCTATGTTACTAAAAATTCTCTTTATTGAACTGTTTCAGTAAAAGTATTTTTCAATGAAACAACTATATCGCATTTCCAACTATGCAAATTTTAGAATAAAATACATACGACTGCCAATATTTTTTTGATGAAAACTTTTTGCAAGATCAACATCATCATTTGATTCTAATACGACAAAGCATTCTCCAGTAACTCGACCTTGATCATTAGTTACAAAATTTGTTTGACGAATTTTACAACCTAAAAAAAACCAAAGATAATGTAAATTTTTTTCTTCTTTCTTTTATTTATTTAATAAAAATAATTTAATTAAATCAAGACAAATTAAAAACCTTGAAGAAAATTTTGTACTTCAGTTTGTGTCGTATTCCATGGTAAACCACGAAGGCGTACAATAAAATTTGTATTACCGTATGAACCGTTCATCACTTAAGATGTATTATGAAGATATTCAAATATTAATGAAATGAACAACGAAAGATCATTGTTATTTAACAACCAATTAGATAATATATAGAGTAAAATAGTATCCTTTCTAGAAAACACATATTTACATCAACACATTAATGCATATAAAATCAACCAATAGAAAATATTTGTTTATCACATTGTTAATTACATAGGTAAAATATGGAATAAAGCAAAAGAAGAAGAACAAGTCTATCAGATTAATCTAATTTATTGGACTTAAAAAATGGATGGTCAAGATCCAGCATATAATCCAAATCTAACTCCATCACATTATAATCCAATGATTTCACCATTGACATTATCAACAACAGATGCGAAATATAATTCATATGATATGAATGTCAATGAAAATAAACCATTTAATGATGTCAATGGAATGATACAACAAATAATGTCTATTGTTGATCAAAGTCTTGATGAAGCTCAAGCGAGGTTTGTTTTAATTAATTCGAAGAAAAAGAAAAATTTTTTTTTTTCTATTTTAGAAAACATGCATTTAATCAAAGTCGACTTAAACCTGCGTTTTTTCAAGTATTATGTGAAATAAAAGAAAAAACAGGTTGAATCTTTTTTTTTTTTGTCTTATTATGTTGTATAATTTGAAATCGTAATTTTTATTCTAGCTATTAATCTTCGAAATTTTCCTGAAGATGAACCACCAGATGCACAATTAATGCGTCTTGATAATATGTTATTAGCTGAAGGTATTGCTGGTCCGGAAAGATTAGGTGGTTCATCATCATCATCGGTTGCAAATGCAACTGCAGCTGCAAGTATTAATGATGAATCTGCACTTGAACATGGAGATTATCGAGCAAAATTATCACAAATTCGACAACTTTATCATACTGAATTAGAAAAATATGTATGTATTGAACAAGAAAAATTAAAACCTTAGAAGTAGAGTTTTGTTTTGACTGAACTTCACTGGTTGTTAGAAAATCAGTCTGTTTATTTTATCAATCTTGAAGTTTTTATTGTAGTGTGTATCATCTGATGTGCAGTAATAGTAAGAACGAGGAAAGAAATTTTTCCAGTAAAGATATGATTTCTTTACAAGAATTCATAAGAGAATGCTACTCACGATAAAAAAATAGAACGAGCTATGAGGTCCGGTTTTATACTTGACATCATATTTTTAAAATTACATGATACTAGTCATTGAGAATTTCTGACCACTGGTTAAAAATCTTTGCATTTTATTATGTTCAATATTTTGATGATGATGAAAAACTTGTCAGCTGAAGACTTTTGCAGCTCTCCATGTTGCACGTTTGTTCGCATTACTATAGTATTATGTTGGTTAGAGAGTATAGCTAACTGTTTAAATATCAAAATACCGCTGACATAGTACACATTTTTGTCCGATTCGAATCACATTGGTAACATTTCCGAATCGTTAAAACGATGGAGATCAATGAAAACGAGCATAATTGACTAGCTTCAGTGCCTCGAAAGCCCGTCATCTGATTCGGCGACACACGCGTGACAAAGAAAATGTCGGAGCTTGATTTAACAGCCATGGAAACAGGTCATGTCGAATCACTTTATTAAAAGGAATTAGAAAAAAACATATGATATGTTTAGAGTCGGTTTGTAGAGTTTGGATCGTTAAAATGAGAGCTTTGTGTCCTATAAAATCTTATTCGAAAAAGGCAGTTATATAAATATGAATGAGTAGACTGAAGTGTTTTGATTTGTAAATTGTTTTAACGAAATAAAAATTATTTTTTGTTTCATTTTTGTTGATAAATAGGAACAAGCATGTAATGATTTTACTAGTCATGTTATAAATTTATTACGTGAACAAAGTCGCGCAAGACCAATATCACCTCGAGAAATTGATCGAATGGTATCAATAATTCGAAAAAAATTTTCATCAATTCAATTACAACTTAAACAAAGTACGTGTGAAGCTGTTATGATACTTCGTTCACGATTTCTTGATGCACGGTAATATTTTATTTGAAAAAAAAAACAAAAATAATCAATATAATCTATTGTTTTTCTTTTTTGTTATTTATATTAGACGAAAACGTCGTAATTTTAGTAAAACAGCTACTGAAGTTCTTAACGAATATTTCTATTCACATCTATCAAATCCATATCCAAGTGAAGAAGCAAAAGAAGAACTTGCTCGTAAATGTGGTATTAGTGTGTCACAGGTAATAGATCGACTTTAATCTTAAGAATCTTTCGAGAATATATTTTCATATCTACATTGATCATGCACTTCGGTTGAGTCATTTTTTATTCAATCATAGTGAATAATATGAAAAATAGTTTTTCTGATACTATTTTATTTTGAATATAAATTTATAAAAATAACACGATTATTATGCTAAGGAACTGTATTAGAACTTATAGCCAGTAAAAAAGCATTTACAGGTGATTTTAAATAAACATCATGTTGATATGAGACAGAAACCTGTAATTTTTGCTGTGACTTTGCATCTCGATGAGATTCTAATAATAGAAATGGATGGTTTCGAATGGTAGGAATCAGAACCAATGATATGATATTAGAGAATGCATGTATATAATCATATATCATCTCTCAGAATGACTCATTGTTCTAAAAATAATTCATGATAAGTATGTTACCAGCTTTATGCAAATAAAATAAAATCAAAATAATAATAAGTTTAATTCTCATGTCATTCAAGATGTTAACTCAATATCATTACTACTGAATCAGTGCCAGTTGGTAAGAACGATTAAAACCCACAATAAAGATCGATATTTATAGTTAATTTACACTCCGTTGGAATGACAATGACTAATCGTAATCGAAATTTTATTTTTGAGATATGAAAAATATTCTTCAGTCATGTGCATTATGATTGAATAATAAAAAACCTATAGCGTACTTCTAAGTTTATGTCTTGAAATACGTTTAAGTCAACATTATTGTAAAACACAGAATTCTGTACAAAACGAGAGAGATTACAATAAGCGAAATCTTATCTGTGCGTTTCTATTAAAACGTTAATTCCTACGAAAATCGACAATCGCTGTTTTGCATTTTGAATTCAATAGGTTTTAATCGAAATACAAAATCGTATTCTATGCAAGCACTATTTTTGATCTTACGCTCAGAAAGAAACTTGGAAAAGAACGAAACGTCTGATTTTGGCTTTAAGTAGAATTGTAAGCAGATGAATTGATCTGATCATCGATGACAGTTGGATTACTTGAGTTTTGACGACGCTGTTGATCGGCTCATACCTCGAGCTCTAACTCAGTTATGTTAAAGTGCCCGAAAAGAATGAATGAATATTTTGTACCAAGACTTTTACATCATAAGTTATGAGAAGATTTCAATTTAATAAAAATATTTTGTTTTATTTTTAGGTTAGTAACTGGTTTGGTAATAAACGTATTCGATATAAGAAAAATATTGGTAAAGCACAAGAAGAAGCAAATTTATATGCATCAAAATTAGCCAATCAAGCTGCACAAGGTGTTTGTGGTATACGTCGAGACAGTGATAGTTCACAGCAAGGTGAAAGATAATTTAAAAAAAAAATTTTGTTTTCTTTGTTTTTTTCATGATTATTTTTTCATCTGTCATCTAGCTGAATCTACACGAAAAGTTCGTTCTCGAGTCAGGAACTAATGATTAAATACAAAGTCAATATACATATTGAATATTTCTTCTGTGTGCAATTTTTGTTTTTGAATATGTGTCTTTCTTTTGAATCTCGTCATTCTCTTTATTGTGACATTTTATTCAAAATTTACTCTTTTGCTTTATTATACTGTTTGTGTATTTGCTTGTTTTGTTTTTCTTTTTGTTTTTTAATCATTCATGTCGTTTGTTTTTTTTCGAATATTTTACTCTTTGTCTTATTGAGTTATATTTTGAATGTAGTAGCTTTTTTTTTCTGTAGTAGATCATGCATTTGTACAGTTTAGTAGCCTTTCTTTTTTCCCTCAATTATATTCATCTGAGCTGTATAACATTTGCTGAACAAAAACAGAACCAAATAAATGTGTTTTTCTTCATCAGAAAAATGCTTCATTGTCCAATTGATTTTGTCGGGAATGAGATCATCACAACGAACAGTATCGAAAACTTGTCACATCACTATGATACTAATAAAGGAACATATCTAACTATAGGTGTAAGCCAATCAACGGAGCTACCGTCGTAAAGAAGTACATATTTGAGTTTTTAAAATTTCCCACATCCTACATCAGTTTTTGAAGATGTCAACGTCTGATTTCTTGTCAATAAGTTTATGTATCGACTTACATCTCAATCCCTAATTGTTCAGTCGCTTCAGTTTATTATCAGTCGTGATGACTGATGAAAAAAAATTGTTTTGGTTGAGTTATTCGGCATTTTATTTGGTTTTCGTTCTGTGGGCTTAGAATCGCTGAGAATTTGCATAATCGGACTACAAGCTGAAATTTTTTTCCTAGATAGACCGCATAGCCACTAGAAATGCTCTAAAGTTTGAGATAGGACAAACGTGTGTGTATTGAAGTATCTGCTTATCATAGTAAATATGTTTCTAGTGACTATAAGCTCTATATATGGACAAAATTTCAATTCAAAACTCGATCAGCTAGATTCCCTGGGATTTTTCACTCAAAGGGTTACAGTTGAATAAAATACGCACATGACTCAGCAAGCAAAGACCCGAAAATCAAACCGAAACTGAATTCTTTTGTTACTCATTTTGGGAATGTTCCTGCACGAGCTTCTCTTCCCCGCCACCGCAAAAATCAGCGGTAGCCTAAATTTGTTTGATACTATGTCAATGTAGCATGAAAATAAAATTGACTTTATCGTGATTTAAGAAAATTTTTTATTATTACTGACAAGTAAAAATTGAATTTGTTCCAATGTCTTTTTTTATCTATATTATTGAACAACAATCAAGTTTTATATTTATTAAAAAAATACACAATTAAAAAGCAACAAGCTTATTTTATTATCTAATAATAGATCATTACAACTTGTCGCCGTTTGTAAAGGATTTTCTGTTGAATCAAGAGAAATATTCATTGCCTACAATAAACACAAACAGAAACCGAAAAGTTTCATTTTCGAAGTTAAGTTAAAGAACTTACAGTTGTTATTGTTGTAATTGTAGTAACTGTATTTTTATCATTACAACTTCATTTATTAGATTTTCCATTATTTGGATCAATATCAAACAGATTATTAGGTTGTTTAATTTTTATTTTCGAATGATCAAGACGATTATATTCTGCATAAGGAGTAATTATTAAATTTCTGTCAACATTAAAGAAGAAGGAATTACTCGTAACCATTTCTATTTTTTTGGAACATGATGTAAAATGAGTGTCGAAAGATATGGGTACAAATTTGAATCTCCCTGTAGGTTCTAACAGATGCTAGTCAGAGACCATCATAGAATTTGGCAGATGATTTAGCAATGTTCACCCTATTCATGACAGACACTGTATCAACAGTCATTTCCTTCACCTTACAGATCTTATTGATATATAGTCAAAGATCGTATAGTAATAACGTCTCATTACATAAAAAACACAGGCTCAATCAGGTAAATCTTTAACAAAAAAGAATATTAAAGTTTATTCTTATAAAATATTATTTGTTTATCATCATCATGAAACGATTCCAGACAGGAAATACTCGAATCTGACGCTAACATCACTTACGTTATGTTCTCGAATATTATCAAGATTTTGTATTTGATGACAACTATGATTATAAGTATATATCATTAGAATTTTTATCACTTGAACTAAAACTGAGTCATCGAAATAAAAGATTTGATTCATGGCGTAATAATTGTAAATTTTTGTCAATTCTTTCATGGATTCTTAACCTTGATAAAATTAAATGTTTTAAACTAAGAAAATAAATTTCATAATCGTTGAAATCTTCTAAAATTTCATCAGTAATTGCAAATACATGATTAGATTCTAATGGGACAAATAATATTTCACTGATGAGAAAAGAAATATTTGTGACGAGATTTGCATGTATGTTTGTGGATAACATTCGACTTTTTTATATTAATATCTATACGATCAATTTTAGAAATCAGGTCTTTAAGTAAGAAAAGAATTTTTATTAGGAGAAAACTTTAAGAATTAAGAGATGACCGGAAAAATCAACGGACTTACTAACCTTAATTCAATCTTACACGACGTGACTTATAGTTTCACTTTTTAATGAATTCAGAATGTCTTTAAAATCAAAGCTACAAAAAGTCGAAAACTAGTACAGATTCTACTCCTACATCCGATAGAACTGTCAGCGAGAGGAAAATATGAAAATCAAGAGATCTATATCTAAATCAGTGTTTCTAATGGAAATTTAAAGTAAAATGTACTGTACACGCTGTTTTCAATTAGGAAAGTGTACAAATGAACCTATTTTTATGAGCAAAGTGTACAAAGTATACTATGTCAAAGTTTTGTAGAATCTAAAATTAAAAAAATGTTCATATCTTATTTTTCAAATGAAAAAAAATAGATAACAAATAAACAACAATAGAACAAGCAGAAAACCAATTAGTATCTGATTCATTCAAGAATATCACACAAAAATGCATAACTAGAATCTCACATGAACTTGAGAAACTAATATTTACTGTTTTTCAAAGTTCAAAATAATAATCGATTGATTTGAATCATCAATATTATCGCCATCGTGCATATCCAAATGATCTGAGCAAAACTGACATATATAACTCATAAATATGTTATAGCTTATAACAAAACAGCGAAACGAATCTAGAAAAAAGATAATTTAACTTAAAGAAGGTAGATCGATCGTATTTAACGAATGATTGAACAAATCAAAACAGATCAGTATCTATGCATTATCTTCATACAATTTTTAGAACTTCACAAATTTTTCTAGCAAAGTGTACAGCAGCGTGTACATTCACAGCTGTAGATTGTTTGTACACTTTCCTTCTGCTGTGTACACTTGCCATTAGAAACACTGCTCTAAGTCTAAATCAGTATTTCCAGTGGAAATCTGAAACAAAACGTAGGCGTACACTCAGATGACACGAGCAGAATGTATATGTACACTTTGTTTTCGTCGGCAAAGGGTGTCAAAGTGCATAAAAAATCAAATTTTTTAGTTTAACAGTAAAATGAAACGTTCGCATTTTTTTCTTGAATGAGAAACATTATTTGATACGAAAAAAAAGGTAACAGGCAAATACGCCCACTCTATCATCATCTGACATGTTTACAAGAAGACGATCGAGCGCGAAACGAAAAACGGAGCTTAAGCAACGAACATAGACAAGTCAAAAAAGTACTTTTTTAAAGTTTCAATAACAGGAAAAGGGTCAATTTCCTCGGATATCATTATCATTATCATACATTTTTTCGTGATCGCATTAAAATGATAAAGAATCTATACTGATACCAAATTTAATTTTTCTGTCAAAGTGTAAATTTCTTCAGCAAAGTGTACTAAGTGCGCTTTGTTTTTCTGTCCAACGTGTAAAACAAAGTGTACATGAGAAACAGCAGATGTTCTGTACATTTTGCTTCTGCTTGGTACAACTGCTATTGGAAATACTGGCCTATATAGCAGATTCAGTGACCCACCCTAATGATATTATGATATAATAGATGTCGCTCATTACCACGCCGTGTTTTGAAAGAATTGGTGAGTCTGACATCTTTCCGAATGTAAATTCCTTGTGGAGGTGACTTTTTTCTTGCTTTCAATGGTCCTACTGCTGTTTAGCCACACCCTTACATTGATTAGTACACTGGACACAGCAATCAGTGTGTGGGTGAGGGCGAGAGTGTGGCTAAAGTACAGTGGTACCATTATATATTAAACAATGAATATTACAGAAGAAACACAAAAAATAGTTAATGCTCTTACAAGTGGTGAATATGTAAAAGCTGCAGAAGTAAGAATCTTTTCCAATCATTATCTACTATTTTTTTAAAAATCTCGTTCATTGTTTAAGATTTATTCTGTAATCATTAATACTGCTAAACTTCAAAATACACCAGATGTACCGGCATTGCTCGCTAGCCGAGCTTCTTGTTATTTATTATCAAAACAATGGCAATGTAAGTTGTTGAGAAATTGTCTTGATTGTTATAATTTATTTTACTTTTAGTAGGCTTAAACGATTGTAATGAAGCAATATTAATCAATCCGCACACAATTAATGCCTATGTACAAAAAGGGTAAGTTATATTTTGCCTTCAGTATTTCTGGTAGCTCTCCGGATGAATCTGATAAGTAGAAAAATGAAATTTACATACAGATAGAATATAGTGTAAGCTTTCAAAATAGAACGATAAGTCTTTGGTAGTCGTATCCTTTGGACGAATCTCAGCCAAATATCTTTCTTTCAGCAACTGAAATAAATCGTTTAGAGTAACTATGTCGATTTTCTTACGTATTTCAAGTAGAAAATGCTGCAATAATCGAGATTTGATAGTTTCCACTTAATGAAAAGATGTTCGATGGTCAACCAGGGATTCTTCACTTAGTTAACTTCGAGTTTACGCGATGTCCATCCGATTATTTCATGCATTTTCTTATTTAGAGTGATTCCTCACTACTCAACTAGGATTTCTAGGCTTTATCCTCTTCTGTGAATTTGAATATGAGGTTATCTAGGAACATTTGAGCATAGCAACGTTTATCCATATTAATATTCAGTGTATAACTGTTGACCAGGCTATTATTGCTTCATCGTATTCACTGAAGTATCTTCTCCTTATCGACAGCAGTGATCCTCAGAGGCCAGTTAAAATGGTGTAAAACAGCATTTATTAACAATTGTACCGTATTATTTGATCTTGCCGTATTTCGTTCCACACTATGAACGAAAAGCTATGTCAGACAGGCATTGTTGATGGAATATCGATGATTGATTATTTCAAAAGTGTAAATGAAAACATTCCTTAATTTTTAATTAACTAGGATTTCGTCGCCTAAGCATTTTCTCTGCAACTATAGATTGTTTATAACAATCCATAGTTTACACAAGTATATATTGACTTCCTCTTACTTTTCAGAGAGTTCTTAGAACAATCTTTCGAATATTTCTAAAAGTGTGCGTTGCGAAAGATAGCTTACACGAAAGACCAGAATTTTTGCATTCTATTTCCTTGTATATATAAGTCAATATATGCACTTATGCAGTCACATCATACGTTACACAGTGTTACACATCTAATGATAATCATACCATACATAAAGTGATTATCGAAAGAACATCACATTGTATACAGATAAAATGATAATAGAATTATTGAGAGTGACCTCTATATAAGGATAAAAAAAAACAGATTTCGTCGATTTTAAAGCAGAAACTACTAAGCTTTAGTCGCTTTGTATACATGGGTATGGTTCATTATGAGTCAATCATTGCAGAATAATAATGATACAAGTTCGAAATGGATTTATGTTCTCCTATTATTTTTATTAGAAAAATCCTTGTTGAATTGAAAAAGATAGATGAAGCTCGTCAAGTGGTTAAAGATGCACGTGCGTTACTTGGTAAGTTATATAATTGAAAATGCAACTATCTTCTTATATATTATTATAGGAGAACATCAATTATTGGTCGATTTAGACAACATAATTAATGACTCGTGGTTTACGGTTGGTACGTAATACTAATGATTCTGACACATAATCTCGAAAGTTAAAGTCTATCCAGGTCGATAAATTAGACAGTAAGATATGAACACGATCAGATAAGATATTAGAGTAGAGGGCTGCATAGCGAGACATTTTAGCAACCTGATCCTGTCCTGCCATGTTTGGTACTAAAGAAACAGCCAAACTGTCATGCCAATATTTTCTGCAATTTAATTTGTTTCAAGCTTAAAAAAACAATATTACATATTTCGACAATTTATTATTATTAAATTCGTTGAAATGTGATCTAAAAGTATAGAAAAGTAGAGCATTCTTTTCTCTATCAGACTGTATTAAGTGAAAGTTTCTTTAAGCTTTTTATAAGGAACTAAAGCATCACTGTCACTGCCTTTTGACTGCATATAGAATATTTTCAACGTTTCTGGATTTTCATTCTTTTTCTCGATTTCTCTTCGAGATCTGTTCGATAACTAGTTAAGTATCTAGAAAGAAGTTCAGAAGATCTGAGTTAAATTAAAGAATTTGACCGAAGATTATATTAGCTATAACTAAGGTTTTTAGTATAGATGACGCATGAAAAAAGAAGAAAAGTTCATGATTTTAATCTGTATGTCATCAGATTCTTAATTTTAATCGAATTGATTACATGAAAATCCGGATATTGAGATTTCTTTCGATTAGATGATGATATCCGATCGACAATATGGAAGCAGGTGTACTCGTGGCTGGGATATAAAAAGAAAACGAACTAACTATACTCTTCATCTGTATGTATCCGTGTGCTTACACTAATGCTTTTCATGTTAATTTGCTTTATGTAATTAATGAATATTTTGGAAACGCTATATTTGATCAGTAAAATAAATAAAATGATCAGTAAAAGAATTCAGATTTGATCAATAGAAAAATAATTTTTCATCGTATAAATTATAATGTAGTATGAGAAAAATAAATTTGAATAAATAGAAAAACACAAAATAAATAAGAAGAAATCTAAAAGAACATTTGATAGAGTTAAAAGAATCAATGAAGAAAAACAGAAATGAAAATTGAGTTATTGTACTCGCAAAGCAGGTTCAACTTTTATTGATCTACCTCCTTTTCTTTTCTCAATGATTGGTACTGTCTTTGCTGCTGCTGGTGCTTTACAATATTTCAAACAAATAGCCATACCGACTCCACGTTTCCATATATATAGTTTTTAAAAAAAATTAGACATTTTCATTTTGATTTTTTCCAATCTGAATCATTCTTTTGTTTTCTGTATAGTTTGTATAGTGTTTTGACTATTTATCTTCAGTTGATGCTTCCGGTTCGTTAGCATTATGAAATGTACCTTCTTGAATTCAATATTTTTTTAAATTTCGTTTTTTTTTTGAATTCTTTCATTTTCATTTATTCCATCATTTTCCTCCACAACCTCTTCCTCTGATACATCACTTTCAAATTGTACGACTTACATCTTTTCTACTCTTTGACACTAAGCTCAATGCGCATAAAGAAGATAACAGTACATTTATATATGTCGTAGTTGTCAGCTGTGCAACATGTAGACCAAAAGATCAAAGAAGAAGAGAACTGAATCACCTTATAAGACATCTCGATTTTTATACTGACCCTTTAATTTAATTTACTAATTTTTAAATATATCAATAAATCGGAGTGTCTGAATAAATGACCATGTAAATAATTTACTGATCATTCATTTATTCTATTGATCACTCAATTATTCTACTGATTATTAAATTATTTTACTGATATTATATTTGTTTTACGTAGTGATCATGTCATTTGTTCTATTAATCTCTTAAATGAGAGCCATTTGTTTTGTAGGTAAAGCTGGTTACAAATTTCTGGGTGCAACTTGTTTTGGTATTGCCGTTGGTATATTGGTCAATAAAATAAGTGCTAGTTCAGGTGTTGCATAAGGTGTTGTAGCCGGTTCATCAATGCCGATTTGTTTCTTTGTTAATATGAGCCGTGTGTGGCGTTTTATGAAGGGATTATTTTACAAGTTGAAGAGTATAAGGTCATCAACAAATACTATGGGTATTCAAAGAACCAGATTTTAGTATTCTTTTTAAATCAAGAACTAATTAAAATAAAATCATAAATACCGCTTTCTGATCAAGAGGTTGTATCAATAGCATCTGTCATTTATATCTATATTCATCTACACATATAAAATACAAAAGATAGTCCATAAGTTTGGACCCCCTTTTTAGTTATTAAGTCGGCTGACTGCACGAAGTGCAGGCAGAGCCGACTTATTGCTTTTCACTCGCTTAGTTGCCATGGCAAATTCTTCTTCTTCTTCTTTTTTAACCCTTTACCCCCCACAACGGTTCCAGAGAAGACACTAATAAAACAATTAGTGAAATGGAGTACTGTTATCTTTAGTAGTTCAATAGTATCATCAGATTGGCCAGGATCCTTTACCTGTACGCACGGTGATTTGGCAACTCCAGTTGCCATTGGGGGGTAAGGACATGAAAACCACTTTTTTTATTTTTTTGAAAATAGTTTATTGGTTTCGCAAAAAATATCATATATTGT